ATAAATATATAATAATACATTTTGATATTGTCAATATAGTCTTCTCACATGTATATGACCACTCTTTGCCTCACACTCGACTAGCTATTGGTGACATGAAAAGAGAGTGATGCATATGTGCCCCCAACTGATCCTTAGTTGCTCAAGCCTAATACTTGTGGCTCTACTCAATTGTGCCTCTAAATTACTTGTGGATCTGATTGACAATCAAGTATCTTGATTGTGGCTCTGACTTGTATGTTGACTCGATTGACCAATAAGTCCTCTTTTTTTCTACTTTTTATTTTTATTTTATCTCAAAAATATCCTTATAAAAATCATATAAATTCACATAAAATCACATTAATCAACTAAAAACCATAATTATTAATTTAAAATAAATACAAAATATATATCTCATGAGTTAATATTTAAATTATATTACTAATAAATTATTAGCTCATGATAATGGAGATTTATTAATAGGTCTTTGACAACTATCACCCAATATAGCTGAGTTTGATGGAGGTAGAACAAATTTCATGGAGTTTCATCTTTAAGTCCATGTATTAAAAGGAGGGCCTTTATCACATTCAAAACAATTTGAAGAGATAATAATAAATCTTCTAATAGATCATCTTATTTTCAACAATGACTTATTCATTGACCAACCAGAGATAATTTCCTTGAAGAATTTATGATTTTATATATAAAATCCTTAATCAGTTACTAATGATGGTCCATGAATATCATTGATAAAGTTTTTATTGATGATTGAACATTTTGTCGATTATCTATCTAGTTGAGAGAGACTTAACAAATTACCAAAAAACCCTAAAAATAGTGAGCACATAATCATGTTACCTTCTCTTAATGTTGAGGTATTTTTGATATTATTTTATAGATGTGTTTCGATTGTATTTTTGTCTCACATCAATTTTTTCAAAGGTTTTGAAATCAACATAATTGTGGGCTTCTTTCACTTCATAGTTCTCTCTCTCAAAAACATAATGGCCAGGACTCCTCAAGGAGAGGGCCATATGAAATCAAGTGGTTAGCCCCCACATATATATGTGTGTACAAACACTCCTTGCCACATGGCTAGTTGACCCCCGATGATATGGAATGAGAGTGACATGCATATGTTCTATGGGGATTTCTTAGCCACTCAAGCCTACCTCATGGCATCCTTGATTGAGCATCTCACTCATGTGCAGAACCCTCTAGGTCAACTATCAAGTGCTTGCTAGTCAAAGGGACCCCTTTTTTGCATTTTATTTATTTATTTATTTTAACTTAAAATATGATTTAACAATCATAGAAAATCACATAATTAGTCAAAATTTCACATTAATCACATAAAAACATATTTATCTCTATTTAACATAAATAAGTGCATATTTCTCATGAGATAATTTATAAAATATATATTTTAACTATTATTAAATCTTAATAATAAACACTTATTAGGTATATACAAATAAGCCTAGATGATGGAGAGGGGGGGTAAATAGGTGATTTTATTTTATTAGTCATGGTATAGAAGTAAGTTACATTAAAAGTGATATAGCAATATAACTAGATAAAGTAAAATTGTGCCAATTATTCCCACTTGAACAATAAATAGAGACAAACCTATTTTTTGTGTGGATGTTATTGAAGATAAAATAAAACTCAACTAAGGTAATGTCAAATATTAGACCATTACAAACCATATTGAATAAAAAAAATAGGAGAAATTTATATGAATTCACAAAGAGTTATTTGCATACAACTATACTCCTACTCTAAAAACATCATTTCTGTTTAAAGGTTAATGTTTTTAATAATTGGCACATCTAACATTCATGGCTTTGAGTCACCTACTAGTTAGTGTTATTATACATATAATATATTTGTTTCTCTATCCTATTAAAAGGCTTACTTGATATGTTGATAGTGAAGACTACTTGAACATGTGTCAAAGCCTTTGACAACTTTGAGGTAAAACTATTTTTTTTATCCATAAAGATGGATCACTAATTGTGCTTGGAAATTAATAAATCTAAGAACATACATCTCTTATAGACAACATAAAGCCACAGCCATCATTACTATGATAGTTGGGTTCTAGGTTGTAATAACTATTTTTGTCCTTTCCACATTACATTCTAACATAATTTAAATTTCAAGTAAATATCGAAATATTTTAAAAAATCACAATAAAACAAAAATGACTTTTGACATGATTCTTCAAGTACTATACTAATTTTTCTAGGAAATTTAATATAAAAATGATATCTCACATTCTCAAAAGTTCATTGAAATAAAGGTTTTAACTCTTCATATAGTTAATAAACACTTAAAACCTTAAGAAATAATAACTATAGCTTTAGAGTTTTAAAGAACTAGCAATTTAAACTTTCATTGTTGCATATGAAAAGTTGTCAATAAGTTAAAGCTTTATCCTTTTGTTCAACTTAGAGTTTAATTGTAGCTTATAAATACTAATGACTTTCTGTTTTAAGATATGAACCATTGAGTTTATTATTGTGACATTATTTATTATTAATAATTTCACAAAAATAGAATTTACAAAAATTATAAATATTGAAAAGGTGTAGAATGTAAAAATAGAGTCCAAAGATTTATTGACAATGTTCTTTTCATCAATATTATTAATGTGGTATGAAGAAGTTGAATTCAAAAGGTCTAAATGAAAGCTTGTTGTTCTATACCTTCTAGAGTGATTGCAGCCATTGAGGAGGGGGGGGGGGGGGTTCCTTTGTAGAGAAGGTTGGAGGAGATGGAAGGTTAGTTGTGTTACTTAGAAGCAAGATAACTAGAGAGGGAGCATCAGTTTCCATTGAGGGCGGGTGTGAGGCCTATTGAGGAAAGGAAAAGGTAGTAGAGAGAGGGTAAATGGGGATGGGTTAGGAGAGAGGCAGGTACGTGGAATGGATATAAATGATAGTTGACACTTAAGAGCTTTGTATGTTTCATATGAAGTGATGAGGGTCTACTAAATGAAAGATAAATAGGATTGATTAAGGGCAAGGCATTGCTATTGCATAGGGGATAGAGGGATTAGACTTCCTAGGAATAAGTTAGAATAATTTAGGCTGGCACTAATATGGAAGGGTTTCCTGAGACATACGCCCTGAGAGAGAGAGAGAGAGAGAGAGAGAGAGAGAGAGAGAGAGAGAGAGAGAGAGAGAGAGAGAGATACTAATGGGGGTTCCAGACGCCTATTCCATCTTCTCCAATTGATGGGGAGTTGACGGACTCGGCTTGTCAATCCTCTTCTACAGTGTAATCAAAGTATTTGTCAGTGCAAGCACTGTAAAGCGGGATGGCATGCGTTTAGTGCATCACTCGAAGGTGTTTCAGCCTACGCTCATCGTGCTTCAACCTTCCAGAACAAGTTCTTTCCAGGTCACGCACTCTGGCTTTCTTCCACCACATCCTACAACATCTCTCAAGCTCTATCCTTAGATGAAGGAGGTTTTCTTAAACTGTACAGGTCCTGATGTCTCCTCCTACTTCTCTCTCTTGCCATACTTTCGTCTTCCCATTCGTACACTTGTGCCCAGCATGGTTACAGGAGTGGGTACACTCAATACCTCTCAATATCTACCCCCGTCTTGGGAGTGGGTCTCCATTTATGAACCTGCCGAGATATTTGCTCTCAATTGATCATAAATTTCTCTGTTTTATGGTTGGTTGTATGAAGTTTATCTTCCTCTCTCTCTCTCTCTCTCTCTCTCTCTCTGGGCTGGATATTTTGTAATATATCGTTTAATGCATGAATCTGAGAAGCATGTGATGCATTGATGGGTGGGGTCTGGGCATCCTTGTCCCGTTGTGCCAAGGGGGAACAGCAGGGGTTTTTGGCACGTGCCATGAGATGAGCTAACGTGGTGCATCTCGACACATCCGGCGACCACCTCTCTCAGATTCGCACGCGTGCGTTTCGGCCCTCTGAACATCTTTGGCTGGCTTTGGCGCCGTGAACAGCTGCCCCATGTTGTGCTCATAGCGAGATAGAGAGAGAGAGAACGAGCGAGAGGCGAGATAAATAGAAGAAAACAGGCCCATAAAATAAATTCGACGGGTCATTGAAGAGAGCGCATTGAGAGAGAGAGAGAGAGTTATAAATGCCGGGAGAGTCGTTAGTTGCCACCACGCCGACGCGGCAAGATGTTCCAGTGTTCCCGGAATTCCGCCCACGCTGATGACGGCGACTGGCGTCAGTAACGGTGACGGCACACTCACACGGGCGACATAGGCGGCGGCGGCGCTGCGACATCCCGACGTCGTCATCATCGCCGTCCGGGGGGGGGAACGAGGAAGCACGTCGTCCAGCGCCGCCGTAGTCTCATCTGCACGTGATCTTTCCCCCCCCCATGGCACGTGACCTGACCATGAGTCACGCGCCATTATGCCTCACCGCCCTTTTCACCATGTTACCCCCCCTTTCTCCCCTCTCCCTCTCTCTGCTGGAGTAAGCGTCGCTGAATCGCTGGACAAACAGCGTCAGAGAAAGTTAAAAGGAAGGAGAGAGAGAGAGAGATGTAGAGGGAGATTAGTTAGGGAGAGAGGTCTAGAGAGAGAAAAGCCTAGGGAGAGCAGGGCCAATGGAGAGGGGGGCTCACGAGGGTTGTGCAGCGTCGACCGATTTGGTCGGCCAGACACCACCCCATCACCCCCCCTCTCCCCGGCACATGCACACGTGGGACAGGTCATCGGCCGTCCCAATGGGCCCAGCCATTTTCCTCCTCCGGCGCCGGCCGCCGGGAGGCCCCGAAGGAAGGTGCCCACGCCGCCGCAAATCTGGGAAATTTACCGTCGTTCTACATCGACGGAGCTCATTCCTAGATCGCCGGAATCGCACCAGAGAGATGCCCGGGAGAGGGATTTGAGGACGAAGGTTGCGTATCAATGGGGAGAAGAAGAAGAAGAAGAAGGAAATGAAAGATTTGTACAGCAGGAAAAAATTGTCTCTTAAACGAGGAAGAGAGGACAGAGGGAGATGGAGGCTACTAACTGGACCGGTCTTGCGGGGTGGTGGAGAGAGTCTGCGCGAGCGCGGCCATGGCCTGTACCTGCATCTCCAAGGCGGCGACGTAGTCCGAAGCCTCCTTCAGAAGCGCCGCTAATGGCAGCTTTCGGCAGCCGGGCACAAGCCGGCCGAGCATCTTCACCTTGCGCTCCAACGTCGCCGGCGGGCCACGAGAGCTCGCCGAAAGGGGGCCGCGGCGCCGTCTGCGCAACAGCTTGAGGGAGCGGCGGCGGGTGGAGAGGATGGAGCGGCTCCAGCGCGAGCGGCCGCGGGCGGCCGCCGCGAGGATGCGGTCGGCGGCTTCGCGGACGGCGCGAGTGGCCGCCAGAGAAGGAGAGGACACTCGCCGGACGCGGCGGAGGGCGCAGACGAGGTCGGTCGTGTAGCTCAGCTGCTGGACCGGGCTCCGCCATCGGGATGGCGATGGCTGGGCCAAGCTTCGGCGGCGCTTCTGCTTACCCTCTCCGGGTGCCTGCTTCGACAAACCCTCCATAGATCACTCCTTTCTCCCTCTCTCTATCTCTTTCTCTATCTCTCTCTCTCTGTGATGGTAAAGCAGCGAACTTTGGAGGGGAGGCCCGAATATCTCTCAATGCTCTGTTCTGCAGTCTCTCTCCCTTGATTGAGTTGCTGCAGAGGTCTGAGCGGTACGGGAAGGAATGGAGCTGGTACGCTTGGTGGAGAGTCTGGGCAGCGCGACGTGTACGCCCTTGGCGTGGTAATAGTAACTGTCGTCACCTCTCTCTCTCTCACTCACTCTACGCCTCCTCTTTCTCTCCATGTTTTATAGAATTCCGCAGCGTCCTAATGAGGCGCGGATTTGACGTCACACGCGACACGACGCGTGGAGGTCGCCGAGCCATCGTCGTGCCATGGCTGCCGGCTGAGGAACACAGCCAGGTGAGAGAGATAGAGATAAAGGTAGAGGTAGAGAGAGATAGGGAGAATGAGGGAGAGAGCTAGAGAGAGAGAATCGTAGACGACCCACGGAAACAGATAGGCGGACGGTGATGACGAGGGGGATCGTTGCCAGTGACGTCGCGGCCGGGCAGACTAGGACGGAGAAGAAGTATAAGAGGAAGAGATCCGGCCTCTCTCTCTCTCTCTCTCTCTCTACGGACAGTGGCCGTTGTGGCGGTAGCGGAATAAAGGACGGGCAGAAGTGCACATGTGATCGCTGAGTTCCCTGCTGGCCATCACATGCCGTCCCCTCTCCGCTTAAATGAGTCCACTGAGGGGGGGCGGGGCGCTGACTTCTTCCACGTGCGACCGCGCCACATCCCTCCTGTGGGCCCATTCCCTTCCTCGCCCCCTCCATTGACAGCATCTTCTCGTGATCACGCGCCCAAAAGCCCGCCCTTTTTGGGAACGTTAACCCCACCCCCGTCCCACACAGGTCACGTGGCACGTGTTATTGCCCGCCTACGCGCTCTCTCTCTCTCCTACGTGTTGTCGGCTCAGCCATACCTTCAGGATCCTGCCATTGGGGTAAACGTGGCAAGTCGCCAGGACAACGTGGCAATTCTTCGTGGGCCGACCAGCTCCACCCTCGACGATTGGGCTTTGTTGCTCTTCGCCTGTCTACCTTTCTCATGGTCAACGTCCAGGGTGTTGCTCACCTCAGAGCAAGGACGACGAGGACAAAGACTCAATGATTTCCTTCTTCCACGTATCCCGTCACAAAGAAGACTAAAACAATTGGCTCATGCTGTGGTTAAAATATTTGTTACTGATTAGGCCCAGTGCCATGTTTTAACCTTAGCTTCAATGGTTTTTTCTTTCTAGTTTTTCATCATATAACAATGGGACATTCAAATCTCTTAGTGCTTAGTGCATGCCAATAAATGGCCCTTCTTTGTTACCAAATATATTGAGCATACATGCCATTATACCACTAGACCTTTTTCACAGATGAGTTAATGAATCGATGGTCACATGCAAAGTAGAAAATGAAAACTCATAGCAGTACACATCACTACTTTAGTAATAAATTATATCCCAGACTTATTTTTCTATTAATATTGAACGATATTAAAAAATTCATACAAGTTTATTTACACCCAATTAATATTAAATGTTTCATCTAAAATGATTGTAAGTAACAATTTCAGATTGTTAAAATCTGGTGTACTTGATAAATTTTCACATTAATATTTTACTTTAATTATTTATATAAAATAGATGTCTAAATCAGTACATTTATCACTACTATTGAAACTCAATAATTATTATTCATGTAAAATAGATCCCTAAATCATTACTTTTCTTGAATGGCATTTTTTGAAGCTATTGAGTTTCAATACTAGTGATCAACATAATGATTTTGAGTAGTAAATTTGTCATAAATCTGGTTTATGAGACATTGGGTTAGGAAAAGGGCAAAGTGGAGAGAGAAAAACCTAATAGTTAAAATGTAGGCTTGAAATCAGCTGACATTATATACAACTATGATGACCCAAGAGAGGAGAAGTTAGAGGAAATAGTCGTGTTGGCCAAAAAATTGAGAAAATTATGTACTAAAAGAGGATTGAAGATTAGAAAATTCAGAAAATAGTTTTTTCAAAAAAGGATACAGAAATTCGTCTATTATAACGAATTAAATTGGTCTACTTTGAGTTCAGAAAATTAGGTTACTTGAAAACCAATTGCCCTTAAATTAAAGGGCATGAAGAGAAGAGAAAGGGGATGACTACTACCTAGAGTGACGAAGTTGGAACATTGAATCCATGATGTTTTCATGCTGGAAAGATAATTATAAGATCAATTAAAAGATCAACTTATCTTGATTCCAAACATGTTTAACATGAGGCAACTGTGAAATTATTTAGAGATAATAAATATATATTATTAAATACTCAAATGAGTATTTAATGAGCACATTCTTGACCTAATTAGATTTAATCAATTAATTAATTAATTTCATCCTATGAAATTATTATTTTTTCTACTTATGGTAGAAATTATCAATATTCATAAAATGTACCACAATAAGGAAGGATGATTGGGTTACACAAATCATTGAGATTTTTTAAAGTATGAAAGCTCAATAAGTTTGTGTACCCATGACACTAAATGTTCACTTTCAAATAATTTTGACATCGACTTTACTAGTTGAATTCAAACCACTTGATCTACTAAATAGGATTCTTGAGTATATTGATATCCTTTCCATGATGTTAATTAATGGATTGTGAATGAGGCAAGAGGGAAAGGCCGGCGTGCCCTATGATGAGAGGGGCTGGTGGCGTGCCCTAGCTTTGATACCATGTGAACCGTAAAAGAGAGAGAGAGAGAGAGAGAGAGAGAGAGAGAGAGAGAGAGAGAGAGGAGAACAATATGATATAATGGGCCTATTAGGGCCATACGGCCCACTCACATGGATTAATATATGTGCCCATGTTTCCAAGTGGCCTAGCTGCTGCTGAATACAGGCAGGGAGGTGGCAGGTATCCTGGGCTTCACTATGAATGGTAGAGTGACTTCTGCCTGCTGAGAGGTCTCTTGCTCTTGCTGGAAGGAAACCTCAAAGGCCAGTGCCTGATATAGGCAAACCTCATCCTCCTTGCAGTAGTAAACCTGCAGTCCCAAAACTAGAGATGAACTCCAAGGCATTTCCATCCCATCCAGTGTGAAAAAAACACGAAACATACATAGAAAAAAGGATGACCCTTATAGAATACATAGGAACTCTGAGGACCAGATATGGCAAACGAACTGTTGGTCACAAGGAAAGAGGGCTGATTGAAGAATGCCAATAAGAGAAGTTTCTGCCCCTTGTTAGAACCGCCAGATGGTTTAAGATGTCTTCCTGAATGTGAAAATATGGCTCCATTCAACTCAAAAACAATCAGTAATGACTTTAGGTTGATATGTTTAATCTACATGTGCAACGTTTCAAATTGAATGTGGCCTTTCTTGCATACGTACGCTTGTGGATTAACTTCTAGAAAACACTCCAACATGGGTGGGTAACATCGATTGAGCATACAACTTGAGATGAACATACTACTTTATATTCTGTTAAAGACTTCCGTCATTAAGCCCAACACCCTGAGTAACGGGCTTTAACTAGGTTTAACCTCTTACAATCAATCTGAGTCAGACTAGGTTCTAGGGACTATACGCTGCCATGGAGAAGATAGTAAGAAAGGGCCTGTCACAATAAAAATAGTGTGCTTACTTATTGATTATAGCAACCTGAGCAATAAGGTTATCTGCTATAGAGGATTGGCCAAACTCGACTTCTGAAACCTGGAAGCACTAATGTTACATAGAATAATCAATGAAACCTTACCTTTAGTGCAAGTAGGGAAGTCATCATAACTATCATTTCCTTTTCAGTCCATACTCTTGTTCGTAGAGTAGGGAGAAATAATCATGTTCCATTTCAATCGTAACATCATTTTCTTTTGCACAAAGTCGCACAGGGACGTCATACTCAAACAATAAATGGTTATCAAGTCCAGTGGGGCCACTGTTCTAATCACTAGTATACTTGTGTAGAGTAACTAAAATGGGACTCGTTTGAGTTTAAAAGGTTGCTTCTTAGGATAGCAAGATTACCCATTAGCTATTCTTCTGCCGTTCTGAGCGTCAAGATTTTATAATATAATATTAGTGATCTCTCCGCAAACTTAATGCAGAGGTGTTTGTTCAAAATTTTTTAAAGCTCCAAAGATTTTTCCACATGATATGGAATATTTCAGATAATGAAGTTAGAACATTCGTAAGTAGGATGTTCAGTCCCGAGTGACCGACCATGCGTAATCGGATCACAAGGAGTTGTTTTTTAAAAAAACTCCAAAATTCATTTCCTGGCTAGTAGCCTAGAGACAAATTTGTTATGTGTAACAATAGGCTGCTATTTAATAACAATTAAATATCATGAAATTTACGGTTTTCTAAACCAATTTTTGACATTAAAAATGTTTCCTACAAAAGCGGAATTTAAAAACACAGAAAACCTTAACATTCAGTAGCCAAGTAAAAGTTGAGATCGTCATTGACATCACCACATGCTGCGTTAGAAGTTCATGACTTAGGTAGTGAGAAAAAGTCATCCGCAGACATACCTTGACGTTTATTCTCTGCACGCTGGGTGTAGATACTGTTCTCTTGAAATGAAGAGATGCAGATCCTTCAGAGTCTAGAAATCCATCAGCTGGCTCAATGACCGTCTCTTTTCCAGATCCAGTTTCCGCGTCAAATTTACTTTTTGCTTCCTGTATTTTGAATGGGATAAAGTTATGAGGCTATTTTCTGTCTTGAATGGTCATTCTTTCATTGTTACATCAATTTCGAACGTAGAAGGGTCTGTTGCTGGTTGAGGACAAATTGAGGAAATTAAATACAACAGAATACTCACTATAACATAGTGTAATACAACTAATTGGGATTCTTATAAAAAAAACCAGCTTATAAAAAGTTACAATGGTAGAAAAATAACAACCATCCAAATTCAGAATCATGTAATTGTTTTTCGCAGTTTGACTTTAATCAATCGAGTTCAACAGACAAGAAAATATAAACTAAGATGTCATACATCCAAGCAGACATCAAAATATTTGTATCCCACATCATATACAACACCGTTGATAAGTATGGCTCTTGATGGCAGCTGGTCAAGAGCGAAATTCCTAGTTTAAGTGGCAAAGGAGCCTGACTGGCAAAGAAGCCTAGTAACCACAAAACTGAGAAGGGCTTTCCATCACCATTTATTTACGTCTGAAAATGTTTTCCCAGTAAAAATAGAGCACTTTCTGCTCTTTTTCTAGAAGAAGGGATCTAAATTGTTGGTTACAAAGGTTCAGTATTAAATGGATTTTCCACATTGAAATAAAGATGATTGATGCAAGTGACCACTAACGTAAAGTTCAGTGATGTCAGAAACACGTCAATTTCGTGCCAACTTGGCCTGGCTGAGGGTCTGATCCTTGCCTTCATTACATAGGCAGAAACAAAAGAAAAAAATCTCTCTTCGTGAATCCCATAAGCATGATTCAGAGCATACGACAATATTCTAAGGAAAATCATTATTAAAATCAGAACGAAAATAAATTCAATTTTGAGGTTTAAGATGAGAGCCAGTTTTCTAATACAATCACAAAAGAATAAACGTCATGGATGAAAATTTCCAGCCAAACCTTGGAGAAGTGATACCCCGGAGGCAATGATATTCTAAGACTTAAGTTTCCGTCTGCAGAAGGCCCACCATCAACCTTGATAATATAAGTGTCAGCAGATAGCCGCCTCCTGAGGCGTTTCAGTGACTTTGGCCTTGGCGATGGAGGAAGGACACCTTTTAGATCTAATGTTTGAAGAGCAGGTTCCTTTTCATTCAGGTCTAAATATCTTATACTACTGTTATTTGTATCAGCTATTAGAAGCCTCCCTGCAAGATTACAAAGAATTATCAGTGAAGCTTTCAGTTCAATAAGAAATTTTGTCTCTGGACACATTCACAAAGAGATGATTTATGTGGCACATGCAGACATTACACAAATTCTACACCCAGATCCTTTTCTTGCTTTTTCTCAGATAATGACTGAAAACTAGCAGTTAGATAACGAGGATACGAAGAGGATTATTTATCTTAACTTGCAAACCATTATGAAACTGGGCCAATTCCTATTCTGGTAAATTTTTCGAACTAGAAATATGCCCAGAAACTTGCAGTTTTTCCTTTGTGTATTCTCCTTGTGTTTGTGCCACTGTTCACGCGATTCTCTTTAAATACTCGATCTACTGGTCATATGAGAGCATTCATGGTCATACATCTTTGTAATGTTCTTGGTTTCTCTACCCATTCTAGTTCACCGCCACATTTATGTGTGTGCGTGTGTGTGGATTCTTTTCTTTACTAGACCTATTATCTCATCCTGTGTGAGAATGGAGGTAGTGGATGATAGTTTTATCCAAATGAATATCTAATAATTGAATAAATTACAAACTGAGGTGACAAAAGAAGGTACCTTGAATCATTGGCTTAAGAGAGTTGAGACTATCAGCACTTCTGAGGTAAAGATAATTATATGAGATTTGTGTTTAGATTCTTATACGTATGATTGACTTAAATATCCATGGGACTGATCTTCAAAGCTCAAGAATTCTTCTTCCATCATAACCTTTATTGATGTACATTTGTGAGGGATGACAGTCAAATAGTATTCCTAGCATTAGAGAATGAAAATAGCTTGTCACTGGTGTTACCTTCTGATAACGATGGTCCAGAGGGATGTTTAGCTTAACTCAAATCTAATAGGACTGTTTTGACTATTATCCTGCAAAGTGCATGAGTAACCAAAGTTTTTTGTTAAGCTTTATGATCATGTTGAGAGATAGGGCAATCCAAAATGGCTAGTGAGCCCAATCATGAACTCAGCTATTGGCATGACAAGACTACACAAAGAATGGTTAGTGCTAAAAGGGAGAAAGAAGGAAAAAGATCTTTGTAAAATAACCATAGATTTGAAGCTCAATATGAAATCACGTTGCCTTGTATAGGAACTTGTTCCTCTCTTCATTTTACGAATCAAGGCTTATAAATTGTGACTGATTTCAATGTTCTAGTCCTTTATAATTATTATGTTGTTGTTTTAGAAGTTGTGTGGGGCATTGAGGAAAACTTATTTGATGTGGAAGAACTAATCATGGGGTATGGAACAACAGGATGCGGAGGTACAAAGCAATTAGTCTAGAAGAAATAAGGGAATACCCTGAAAAATCAAGGTCACTTTGTTTCCTTGAACGGATAACCATCTTTTGGCTAACCTAGTCTCCTCATCCCTTATGACCAAGAACGATGAGGGAGGATAGCTTTTTAAAAAATTGAATCAAAAAGAAAAATTGTTCCATTCAACTAAATGTGCAAAGACAGGCTTCAGGCCAAATACGAAGATAGAATTAGAGGCCCAAGTCTAAAAAATATAGTGTGGGGCAGGCTTCAGGTTTCCTGTCCGATTTATTATGCCATTATGTTGTGAAGTTGACATGACATGTTTACTGGACTTCTCCAATCTTACAAAGATGTAATTATGACCTTGTAGTAGCTTATTCATCTCTTATTTCCATTTTATGCGTTACTTTTGTACATTTTTAGTCCCATAAACAGATAATTATTCAATGAGGATGTGCACAGTTCAAGGGTTACCATTGGTTTTTGCCACTATGTCATAGAATTAAGAGATCACTTATATACTGCATTTTTTATTTATTCCATCCGATCCGATCTATTCTGATTTGAATCTTTTTCCTCCATAAACAGATGTGATCTTATTAATACAACCTCTGGTTTTAGGTGTGTACATTGTTGAATGGCACTATTCTATTTAAAGTATGACAATAAATACAATTAATTTTTATGTGCCTTTGATTAGAAAAAAGGTTATTCAATTTAGTTCCATAGCCTGTGCATTAGTTATTGCAACTTAAAGAGCCTATTTGTACTGAAGTAAATAATAAACAAATGATAATTAAAGAATCTCAAACATGCTATTTCTCACTATAGTTCTTCACATATTCGCATCATGAGTGACTGTTAGTTGCTAGTACCTGGGCCACAAAACAAGGAAACTACCTGACAACTAGGAAACGGTCCAACTAAGAACCGAACTACTTAATATATGTTCTTTCCCACAGAGAATACTATAAGTTTCTACTAATTCCCTTCCACCTTCACCCATAGGAACTTCTTGAACTTCAGGTGCACTTCATTGCACTTGAAACCATTCAACTCCAGGGGTCAACAAAACCAGTTGAATGTAATGGTAGACTATTTTATATTCTTAAAGGAAATCCAATCTCTTTTTTATGAGAATAACAGTTACACTTCTCATATGAAGATCCGTTAAGGCACAACCCTATTGCTGAAAATTGAATAACTTTTGTCCACCAGAGTATTTAGCTTCAACCTTCGTATAAAGCAGCCAAATGAAGTCTCTATAAGGTGAGGATTTAATTTCAAACTGAGTTTCGAGAACGCACATCAGCATGAGACATGACTAGCGAAAATACAATGATAAACAGAAAAAAAGCATACCATTTCCTGCATCAGTGATCCCGGATGGCTCAGAAAGCTGTAAAAAACAAGTACCGTTTTAAATAGTATGTTAATAGTAATTCCACGTGAAAATAACCCCAAGAGGTGAAAAAATATTAGGTGGACATTCATCTTTACAACAAGGTGGGTTGGCCCGAGCATGTGCATGTAACTATTGGAATAATAAGATTACAAGAGAAAAAAAGAGGATTTTTTTTTAATTAAGAGAAAATAGGTTGAATAGGAAAGGAGAAAAAGAAATTCTTCCAGCATTTGGCTAATTGGAGACACATGATTGATTTTCTAAAGGATTATAACATGCAACTAGAAAAGGATAATAGAAAAGCTCCAAGATTTCTAGTATGATGAGAAATTTAAAAGTAGGAACCCTAGCTATTTGGTGTTGAGGTGTCAGATTCTCATATTTCATCACAGAATCAACTCTAGGATACGAATATTTCAATGACCCGATAGAGGAAAGTGAAAAACCATGAATGAAGGTTCAATTAGTGGAAGCATTGCTCAGAACAAATGTGGGAAAGAACAAATATTTAGGAGTTCGGTTCTCAGCTGGACCATTTCCAGGTATACCTTGTTCGTTTCCTATTTTTCGGTTTCCTAGTTAGGTAGTTTCCTTGTTTTGTGGCCCTGGCACTTGTATGTAGCAGTCACTTACGATGTGAATATGAAGAGAGATTTTCTGCTGCATATTCTATCTCCTAGTGTTTGCATCAGCAATAAATATTTAGACTAGCATAAGCACTTTAAAGGAGAAAAAAGAGAAACAATTCAGGCATGGGAAATAATAACGATGGCAGGATGTACACACTGTGGCAAGGAGAACCACAATGTAGACAGGTGTTGGGAGAGGTATCCTTACAAAAAAGGGCAAGATCTTCAAGGACAAACAGTTAAAGAGAACATTAAAATAACTCATAATTTAGGAGTTCCTTTTTCCATCTCTTCTTTGAGCTGAGGTATGTACTTCTCATAACCAAACATTGTTGCTTACATATGATTCTTTCACAATTAAGCAGGACCACCTCCAGCCCTTCACCTAGAAAAGGTACTCAAAAGGTTATCACCCGTGCTCTTCTTTTTCAGCATCATTTCTTTAAAAGGCTTCCAGTTGAAGTACATTTTGCTGATGCTTTTCCCCAAGAGCGTAAACAAAATTATGGCAGTAAGCTTCCTATAAATCATTGCTTTCAACGCTGACTGTTATTTTCACCTCTACTTCATGTACTTGGTAGTCTATGTAAGATAAAAGCTCGCATAAATAGGACTCCTAAATTATTTTTCAAAAAAAAGTTCATTACTAAAATCCATAAAAATAATGTCTTGGAGTTGATCTATTTTTTTTGTTCAATTCCACACAGAAAAAGTCAGGGAATTCATTATGGTACTCTTCTGGGCACATACACTAAATTATAATGATAGCTTTTCTAAGGAACCGGTAAAAATCTTCGGTTCTTCAAGTTCATTCACTGGCAGTTCTCTTCCTTACGTGGAAGGGCTGGCAAAGGCCAACCGAGAGGTTGACGGGAGAACGAATGGCTCAGGAATCGACTGGTTCCGAGCTATCCACTGTGAAGGTCTTAACTCCAGTAGGGAAGAGCCAGAGACATTCGAGACGCTCTTTGACGAGGAGCTTAAGGAAAATTTATTCATGGTAAGAGTAAGAAAATAATAGAAAGGCCGCCCCAACGCATGATCATACCTAAGTCATCCACCATGGGCTAGGTTCTCTAGATTTGACGTTACTATAATCAGATTTGGGTAGAGTAAGCAATATAGTGTTAGTTAAATAAAAAGATACTAAGTGATTCTCCAAGTATATGTTGATGACATGATAACTATATGGGAAAATATCAAAGGGATTAAGAACCTGATGAGGAACTTAACAAATGCATTTGAGATGAAGGATCTTGGTCAGCTCAAGTTTTTCTGAGGCACTGAGATTGTAGTGTTGAAAGTAAATGTCTTTTCCCAAAGGAAATATGCCACAGAACTACTAGAAAAAGTAAGCAGCTTAGCCTGTGGATAGTATCCAATGCTATTAATACCGAGAACGTTCTTCATAATACTAAGGGTAATCAAAGATTAGTTGGCAAACTTTTTTGTCTATCAGTTAGTAAACTAGGAATTGTGTATTGTGAGTGAGGTGGTTCCGCTTTTGTGTGTGATAGGTATTACTGTCTTTGGTCACCAATTATTTTTTTCCGTTGAAGTGAGATTAGAGGAAATGAGAGGAAATTCTTTGCTACACAATTGAGAGGATGGAGCTATGAACTCAGGGTAATGTGTAAAACAGGAAAGAGTTATTTCAAAAGCAATCATTCAATGTTGCAGAAAATAGAAAAAAAAAAGAAAAAATTGGACTAAACCTGGGCTGATAGGGCTGCTCCATCCTTGAAACCAGCATTACCTGTCCCTGCTATTGTGACCACTCTTTTGCTAACTGGGTCAAGTTTTTTTATCTGTCCATTTAAAAACAGTAGTCATCCACCGAATACTCAACAAAAATCAAGTAATGCGAGACATAAATACATTTCTTGTTTTAGATATTAAAAAAGCAGAAATGTCGAGGTCATAGAAACCTGTTAGGCCAACTGAGAATCAGTACTTTCATATAAATATTCCATAAAAAATAAACCATGAGTAGAAAACAGACCATAAAAAAAGTAATAAGCATGGGACCTTGTCTGGACATTTTAGGTTCTGCCCTAAGCATTCTGTTGTTTCTTTACGAAAGTAACTTTTCCTATGAAAGATATGCCCCTTAGAAGTTATAAAAGGATCAAATGGGGAAAAATAATTTACATGCTCTCATAAACTCCACTACATTCCCTGTAGAATGTGTCTTTCATAAGGCATCACCATCTCGTCTGCTAAAAAATGTTTCTCTAATGAGTGAGTGGAAAAGGCTTTTTATTAATGAGCTAGAATATAAAAGTTAACTATATTCAATATCGTACATAAATGAAATTTAAAATATAGATATTTATACAAATGAAATTTTTAGCATGGCTAATAAATTCACATGAAGACAGATGAGCGAACAAAGGTTATTCCCTCGATTACAGAGTATTTTTGAGTGTTTGGACGATGGTAGAAATGGATGAGTATAGTGATGTAATGCTTAATCCAAAATAACCAGTACCTTGTGGTTATACGAATCTGCTATGTAAATCTGACCATCTTTTCCACAGAAGACGCCTAATGGATGCTGGAAAAGGACATCGGCACCTATTCCATCATGATCACCGAACTGCAGAAGAATTTTACCCAAGAAAGTGGCAATAGATGAAAATCAATGTATATCTTTCAGATATGAAAGCACTCTGAAATGATAATGATGATTACAAGAGGAGATACCCTAAATAAATTCTCGGAAAAGACTGAATCACCCCCAGCCAGCAACCTTGAGCCCCCAGTTTTCAGGTCAAGCACACGGATAGAGCTACTTTCACTGTCAGCCACATACACCTCTAGCATATCTGTTCAAGTAGTAGACGTTAAATGACATTACATCTAGATTAATAAGGAAGAGAGAATAAAGCGACCAATCAGTAGATTATTTGTTACCAGGAGATAATGATATTCCAGAAGGCTGAGCAAATGAAGTGTTTGTAGAACTGCATTTTGAGGTACAGATATTCAGAATTCTGGCAAGACAATCAAAACTTTGACAATAATCTAGCATGATGTATTCATCAAGCTTTAAGATTTCCAAGTTTCATTAATGTTCTTCAAATACAAATCCTGGATCGTTCTTCATCTATTTAAATTAATAAAATGCATGCCCGATTGAAGGAAGAAGTAACAACCATTTTGGGCGAATGAAGTGCTCATTAAGCTACTATGACAATAAAAAGTAATATTCAACGAAAGGCAAGAACATTCTAGATTTCTTAACAGTAGAGTAATGCATTATTAAGGATATTACTCTTCATGTCACTGGGTGACAAAAATAACAAATCACGGTCACCCTTCAGAGATTGCTAAACATAAGATACACGTTTATTAAGATACACGTAAATATAACCCTGATGAAAATAAGGACACCAGAATATGCAGTGATGATGTGACATCGTTTTTAAAGAGGACAGGTTCCCGGAAGGTACTTATAGCAAGTTGAAGCCATTGAAGATTGGATCACAAGCATACGTGGTTGACACTAAATCAATATTTCCTAGGCTTTCAACATTGTAGATTCATGTATGGACCAACTATAGACCGAGCAAAAATGTCAAGCCTTCTTCATATGGAGGGTACTGATGTAGATGATTATGCAACTCAACATTAGGCATTAATCTAGATGATTACGCAGCTCAATATATTTATAAATCATAAATTCTCAAAGTTAAGAAGAAAAAGAAATATGAAGGCACCCCAGCAGGTAATAGTTCAGCAACCTACAGTTTAAAATTAGTCCTTTCCACTTGTAATTTTGATTTTATTACTAGAAGATATTGCCCTTGATAGGCAATAATCTATATGGTATTTGTTTCATTTTATCAAGGTTTCAAGGTTATACAACATCTGTAACTCCCAATCAGTACCACCTTTTTTCGCTTCAGTGAATTTCTTGGCTCTTTGAGCTTTTTCCCTATCCAATAAAGTTTTTTCCCCAAACTTTTAACTCTGGATAGCAGTGCAATAGAATGCAATCAATTACTTGGGAATAAGTCATTAGTCATTGTGGATGACCTTTAACATAGAAAACATGCCCAACATGGGCAAGCAAAGTTTTGTAGCATATCTTCCCTTTGATTAGATTACCAAAAGCTTCAACTAATAACCACACAGATACTGTAAAGCACCACGAGAATCACACAGTATGACTAATTAAAAGATCAGCTTACATGCATTGCAATAAGTAGTCTTTCTCCTTTGAAGAAAACAAAAAAAAAACTGAAATAGTGTCACCCATATGTGAGACTACAGAATCAGACTGGTACTCATATGTGAAGAAGGCATGAAAGAGCCATTTGTAATTGAAACTAAACAGGAAAATGAAGGATAAATAATTGATATTGAGTAAGATGAAAAATAGACTAAGGTTATGCATCATATCACACGTCCACAATAGAAGAAGAACACAAAGTAGCAATGTAGAGTACAGATGAAACTTGAACGGCTCATGAGAACCGTAGGCCCTAGATTTGACAACATCAAGGCATGGTACCTTGAGCCATTCAAATTTCTTTCAAAACCATCACCACTGATAGCTTTAGTAACACTAGTTGATGTGTTGTGCTCCCAAATTTGATGTTGTCCAGCTAAGGCAATGTAAACAATTTCATTTGATGGGTTAAAGCAGACATCCCATGGAGAGTTCAGCACCTAAGAAGAGAAATAAATCAGATTGACAGCGCATTGTGATAGTGACATAATCTAAATTTGAAGATTGAAAAAAACCAAAAATGTATCATAAAATGACCAGAGATTACTCTATCAAGAAATGAGACCTTTTTGCATAAAAAATATACAACTAGCTTTAAGAAAATTACGAAGAGTGCGCCTCAAGCCAGAGAGATGACTTTCCAAAGTGTCCTTACCTCAAAAAAGTGAATTACTTTACAGCGCACTGAGATTGCATTATACTATGCATCTTAAAGACACAAAAATTTAAATCAATCACATTCTCAACTGAGATGATCCAATGCAAAAAAGGTACAATAGTTCCGTAAAAAATCATACAACTAGCTTCGCGGAGAGAAGGAATGCTCAACCTTAAGTTAAGTCTTATGCAAGAAAGTTGTTTTTTCCAATGATCCTTACCTGAGAGCTCCCTGTTCTACCCCCCTTATAGTCAGAGCCTTTTGTTCCATTACCAGCAAGAGTCCTCACTGACTCGTCCACAAAATCTATTTCCCTACATAAGGAAAGGATCAATTGTCACTGATGCAGAGGTGTATGTGACAGACTAGCCAATGGGCCGATGGCAAACTGAGCAAGATAAATCTACAGGACAGACACAGCAGTGCCAATAATAAAACTGAAAAAAGAAAACACGAACGGAAGATGACTTTCATTATGAGCACAGCCTTTGTTACAACTTAAAAATAGAACAAATACGCCATACAATGATGGCTAAGATTAATTCCTCAAATCTTCCCACTCACCTTGGATGTATAACACTTCATTGTGTGGTCAATATATCAGGGGCTACTAATTAAAAAAATAAATCAATATGATCGAAATTCACGGGATATTATTTAACTTATAAGGCTTATAAGAAAAGATCCATTTTCAATGTCCTAATCTAAACAGTGATATAAATAAACTGGATACTCCTTTAAGCCTTTCTATAAATTCATGTGCTCGTTTAATAAAAAGAAAACACTCAATAATTATTTGGTGAGTACATTGCAATAAAAACAAGGCTTATCTATTCAAGAAACTCGAAAATGGTATAAAAAATGAATGATGTCTCTTTACAAGGTCTATCAAAGACAACATTCAAGTAATGAAGTTATCCATTAATTAAGGATTAATGCTTATTTTGACAAACAAGTACCAATTAACTAGAGGCCAAGTTCACATTGATGCCTATTTTGAGTTAACATCATCCTGCCGGAAAGATGCAATGGAACTTATGTTTGTGCCCTGCTGGTGAAATGGTATATCTAAGAAAAAAAAGAAAAAGATATTCATGCATATAAAAATAAATAAATAGGCCCTTTAAATCCGGTTTCTGAGAGAGGTGGTACTTACAACTATTTTATTGGTGATCAACAAGAAATTTCTCTTTTACGAATTGACAAGGTCACATGTCACCAAGAAACATACAGTAAAATCTAAGAGAAGCTATCCATTTGCAAAACATCCAGTGCAATGTGACCCTTTTTTAAGCAAAAGATTACTTCCTTTATAAATAGTAGCTACATTTCTAAATTGCAAAATCTAGGACCATAACCTAGTATTTATAATTTGGCAAGGAAAATTTGGTATGCCTGATCAAAATGCCTTTTCAGGTTATTTTCCCATAAAAAATTGTATTCCCTATCCACAGGAGATAATAATTACAAGGATGGAATTTCCCTTGTAACTATAGTGATCCCTTTTTGTACAATCTAACATTTTAAAGATGCAAGAAAAGAGAAGAGAAACCAGGAATGGTTGACATCCAGCCCAACTCATGGGATCAAGGGCATATAGACAGTAGAGGTAGTATGATATGAAATAGCAAGGCAGGAAGTGGGAGCTGAAAATATGTTACCATTAGCCCTCCAAAGCAAGGGAAAACAGACGGAAGATAAGAAAATACAATCCGCAACCCACTGTTACAAAAAGAGCCATCAGAGATAGGACACAATCTGCCAGGGACTGTGTAAAGAAATCCAACCCCCTTTTTAATTGAGAGATCATATTCCGCCTCTCCATTCTTTTCTCATACAGAGCTGATGGAAATGGATTGTTGCTACAACTGAGCCACGCAGTACTCTAATCTATTATTTTCTTCATGCAATAAATATTTCTCTGGTCCTTTCTGAGGGACAGATAGCCAGTAGGTTTCACACAATGAAAGCAAGCAAGCTCTTCCAGTCCCAGTTCATGACTATTGAAGACAACTGCGGGATTCCCATAAGCGTCCCTCTTGACTCTTAACGCGAATATTTTCATCCCTAACTCTGCACAAGCCCGAACTCCCAGCCACTCTGAACCTTTAGTACATCCAAAGGCATGAAGAATCTAAAGTGGTTACATGTGATGAATGAGGAAATGAGGGCCTTAAAAAGTAAGATTTTGTATTTTTTTCTGGAAAGAAATTAGTTTTTGTTGTCTCTAAATGGGTATATTTACTATCAAATGTTGGAAATAGAGAGAGAAAACCTCGTCACAAAGGACAGAGGGGAGATTGGCGGAAACCACCTCAAGATTTATTCAACTGTAACCCCCATTATATACGGAGTAATGATACACAACTTTTACGAAAACACCTCAACTAATTACATTATTTCCCTACGACCTAGAACCTCCAACAAAATATAAAGCAAAAGTAACCACTGATAAGTATAAGACAAAACTACTAGCAAATGCATTACATAAACATATGGCATTGACTTTAAGGAAATCTTTTCTCCCATGGCAAAACTCAAATTTATTAGTTATTTTCACTAGCTGCAGAATTTTAATGTAATCTCCACTAATTTGATATCAAACACGTCTTCTTTGATGAAAACTTTGAAGAGAGAATATATAGTGTCCTCCATGTAAAAATATCCAAGCAAAAGTATGCAAGTTGAAGAAAGCTTCATATGACTAAAAGCAATTTTTACAGACAACATTTGACAAATGTAGAAAGATCATGATTACTTTTGAATATAAACCAAGCAAAGCGGATCATACTTTGATTCCAAATATTAAGTAGGAAAACTTTGTATTTTAATTGTTTGTCTTGTTGATATGGTGATCGTAAGTGATGATGACAAAGATAACCAAATTTAAAGGTCATACTTCCTAAAGAATTTGAAATAAAAAATCTTAGTAACCTCGAACCAATTTTCTGGCATTTATGTTCTGAAATCAAGCAAAGGTATCAACATATGTCAAAGAAAATATGCATAGGATCCATTGCAAGAAACTAGTAAACTCGTGTACAGATTTATTTAAAATCTCTCTGAAATGAATTATCTGTTGCATGAATAAGAAGGTGCACTTCTTCTGATGTTGATAAAGACATATATGAAAGACCTTGGGAACCTTATATATTTAACTTTGACTATACTTGATATTAGTTATGTCGCGAGTACCATTAGTAAATTTCTTCACTCGCAAAAAGACTTACAAATGAAGTCTGTTGGTCGGATTCTATGGTACCTTAAATCAAATCTAACAGGAGATATTATACTCTTTAAGTCTCAAGACTTACGTAACAAGGGCTATGTAGATGTAGATTGAACTGAATGTCATGATGATTGGGGATCTATTATAAGTTATTACAGATACCTTGGTGCAAATCTAATGACATGGGGAAGCAAGAAACAACTAATTATGACAAGATTTAGAACTCAAACACAAAATAAAGCCATGGCCTAGGACCAGATAAATGAACTCAAATTTACACAATATAAATGAACTCACATTAATTTTAGTTTGACTACATATTGACCAAAGATACTGAGATAGACCGACACTTTATCAAGGAGAAACTTGACTTTGGAGATCTGTGTATTCCTTATGTTCATTTAGAAAATCGACCTATCAATGTCACTTAGGGCCTCACATGTGGCAAGCTAAATTTTTCACTATACAAGCTATGCATGTGTTATATGTACGCTTTTCTTGATGGGGAGTGTTGAGAACCAGTTAATACCTTTCTTCAATTAAAGTTAGTTGAGTCCACCAGTCATGCCTTCTAACCCATTAAGTCGCAGATCTATCTTGGGTCGGAAAAACTTGTATGTAGATTCATTTATGGCCCCAAACCTACACCACTGAATCCACATATGGATATTTCTAACCCTAGTTGGAACATAGACTAGGAGAAAGCTCTGCACACAATTTGAACTAGGGTTTCAGCAGTTCCTCTTAGTACTAGATAGTACCATCGTTCCTATCTGAAAGTATCGTTCTTGTTTGTTTCTTCTGGCGTTCCTGGCTTTCTCCTACTAAGAGGATATGCATCTTCCGCTCCTGGATTTTTCCTGGCGTGTGTTATCTCTCCCACAATTTTCGGTGCTCTCAGAAAATATCATCAGTTCAGGAAAGAGAACAATTTAATGTGTTGGTAAGAATTATTCAAATTTAGCCTAGTTGAATATTTTGAGAAAAAAAAAACTCTCGAATAGAAAAACCGAGAATGACTCATTCAATGTAAAAAAACAAAAAGGTTTCGAACAGTATCAGACACACTCTATTCAACAAACTAGGAAATAGAAAGTTTATTCAAAGCATGTACAAACTCAATCTAGCCCAAGGACGAACTCTTAAATCTAAACCAAATTCAGGCAGAGAAATAACACTCTTGACACGTAATGAACAATCTGATCTTGGCCTTCCCATTGCAGTGAGAAAAGGAATCATAAGGAAACTCAATATCCTAAAATTGATTTTGTGCCTTTTGATCGATTGTCTTCTCAGCATGAGGACTTTGTTGCACTAAATTCTACTGATGTACCAAAAACAATTATAGATGTTTTAAGCAATAAAAAATTGGACACGAGCCATGGAAGAGAAGATGAATGTACTAGAAAAAAATTCAGACTGAGGAGATTGTTTCTCAGCCTAAAGACAAGAAAATTATGAGAGGTAAATAGGTTGCATTCTAAAGTATAAAGCTAGTTATACTTCAGGAAGCCACAAGACAAGACTACTCGCAAAAGATTATGCTCAAACAAACAGAACAGATTATGTTGAAACTTCTGCACCAATGGGAAAAGATGAATACTGTGCAGGACTTATTATCTATATCAAGAGAGTTTGGCTGGAATTCACAACAACTTAATGTGAAGAATGCTTTCCTTCACAAGGATTTGGAAGAAGAAGTCTTCATGAAGATTCTACTTGGTTTTGACAAAAAACTCGGATCAAAAAATAGGAGTCAACTAAAGAAAGTATTTTATACGGTGAAAGCAATTACCTTGACCATGGCTTTTCTGCCTTACAAAATATATGTGATATAGGTGAACTGAAAAGGAACATACACTGTTTATCAACTATGCCAATGGAGGTAATGTGATCATTATCCTTGTTAATTTTAATGATATATTACTATAAATTATCAAAATTTAACGAAGAATTTAATAGGTTTCTTAGCTGATGAATTGGAAATTAAAGGGTTGGCAAATTTCAAAATGCTTCCTTACGGAATATTCATTTCTTAAAGAAAATGCATTTCAGATTTACTCAAGGAGATTGAAAAGCTAGAGAACAATCGACAAACACTCCTATTGAACAAAACAATAGGTTTAGGAAAGAAAAAAAAAATGCTGTCGATGAAAGAAGCTATCAAAGACTTCTATGAAACTAATTTACTTATCACACAGGTCAGATATAGCCTATAGTGCCTGTGTAGCAAGACAATTGTTGCATAATCCTAAAGAGCATTTGCGAGTAGCTCATAGAATACTTCAAGACCTCAAAAGGCACAGAAAGGAGAGGACTGTAATTTATAGAGATACAGACAATGAAGGATGACTGGTTGATACAAAGTCCATTAAAACTTATTGCACGCTCCTGAAATATCTTGTGACATGAAAGAGCAAAAAAGAATGTCACTCCCAGATCAAGAGCTGAATCTGAATTCAGGGCCATGGCTCATAGAGTATGTGAGTTATTGTTGTCAAAAGTAATCCTAGATGACTTCAGGATTGCAAGATTTGGGCCTACAAAGCTGTATTATGATGACAAATCTACAATCAGAATTGTACATAGTCTAGTCTAACATAATCGAATTAAGCATATAGAGATTGACAGACAGTTCATAAAAAAGAAGCTTAAAAAGTGAGCTGCTTAACAATCCATTTGTGCTATTATAAGACCAATTCGTAGATAACCTAACTAACAAACTACGTGTTGCATGATTTCATGCAGCTAACAAGTTGGGAATAGAAGATCTCCACTCACCAACTTGAGTGAGTGATAAAAATCATCAGATATTTTCAAAGATGCCTTCCTAAATACATCAATTTTCCTTGTCCATTTTCTTCCTATTTTTTAGGACTTAGTAGGAGAGAAAGCCTCATATATCTATCTATACTATATATATATATAGATATTGTACAAGTTACTTTAGTTAAGCATAGAAGAATAATTCCTTTCTTCACTAATTTATTTATATCTAGGGCTAGGCCTGACTGAATCCCAGACCTAGCCCAAGTATCAAACGAAATGCCTGAAGTCCGTCCAGTCAACGGTTGATCATATTTCTTGGACCTGCCTGGCCCCATGCCAACACCTGCGCAACTCATGTGCTACCTAAAGCATAGTGCCAATACTCTTACTGAAACTGACATAGGAGGAGGCAGGGAGGGAGAGAGGATAGAGAGGGACAGAAGTTTGGAGGGGGGATGAAAGAGAGTGAAGGGATGAAGAGAAGAGGATAGGACTACATATGGACTCTATTCTGGTAGAACGTCAGTAATAAAATGAAAAAACGGAGAGACCTGGCCTTGACACCGATAGATGATAAGCAAAGAAGTTGTTCATCAAAACCATCAAGATCAGGTAATTCATTTACTCTTAAAAATTCAAAAAAAATATTAAAACTGCTTTTTAAGTGGTACAAAGCTACATAAAAATGGCCATAATAGATGAAAAGTTGGGCACATGTACCTTAAAGCATGGTTCTCTGTGTCTGCAACATACAGTGTATTTTTCTTTGGATTGTAAGCTAAGCCCTATAACAAATGCTAATCATCATTAGATCTCCGAATAGATATAAAAAGTAAAATTAAGCACTCATCTCTCCGAATAGATATGCAGGACATAAGTGCAGAAAAAATTCATATTTTCCATGAAGGAAGAGCGGTATTGTGTCCTTTTAATTCTCCCACCATCCACTAGTGTGCCTCTTTAAATAGAAAGAGAATAGTGTCACTAACGCAATCCTATGAAATGCCTATTGTTGTCCCTTTGTTGCCGAAAGAATACCCCCCTTATAGTGACAGCTCTCCCTATTATGCATGCCACTATAGTAAAGCAAACAAGCTTTCTCAAGTGGATTAAATCCCCCCAGAGCATACAACTTCTGAAGAGCATTGCTCTTCACGTTCTTCCCAAGGGGGAGCTAGCTATCCCGCCATTAAGATAGATGATGACCTAACCATTCCAACTTCATCAAAATAGTCACTGCCAATGAATCTCCAGTATTGTAGGCCAAAACCTCCTAAGGAATACGTAACAGTCTTCCTCATATAGCCACTATTTATCAAAACAAATATGAGCTTTTTTTACGTCCTCAACTAATCTTTAGCAAAATATGCTATGAATAGAAAGTAGTCAGAAAAATAGATAGCTGCTAATCTATGAAAGTGGGCTAAAGCAAGGAACATTGGCAATGTATCAACAAGAACTGCAGTGGCGATAAAATCATAAGACCCCCCCCCCCCAACCCTTCACAACTTGAACACCCCCAACTTCATTCCTTCCTGAATCCTCAACATAACATTGAAGTCCCCCATTGGCAGCGTCGTCATCCTGACCGGCAGTTGGACTATGTGAAGTGCTCATTCAGATCTCCACTCAGTTTTTCAACATCAAGAAGGATAGATCCTAGGTAAAAACTCACAGAATATTCAACAAAGTTTCAAGGCGTCTATGAAAGAATGAGATATGCACCACCAGCTTGAAGGAACTGTTGAGAATAAAGATTACAGAAAGGCTATAAAATGATGAGCGCAGCAAGGTCACAATAGTTCTAACTCAGGAATGTGATGGAAGGTACCAACAACCTCAAGTCAGCAAATTAGTGGCATAGATGTGAAGAAAACAAAAAAAATAATTTCAAAATAGATCAGGAAATTAATAGGGAGCTCCTGCTTCCTTTATCTTGTCAGCATAGGATCCCGACCAATTTTAGATTAATGTACTATGAATCTCTTACAAAAACAAAGGAGTTGACGTCAGGGAGAGCATGGAGAACCTAAGAAACATTTTTGTGTTTGAAACTGAACAAGGTTGTCTGATTTCGTGTCAAATAACCTAATAAAGTAAAAACTATCCTAACGGGATTCAACTTATCACAACTAAAAGTAAGTCGGATCCTAAATCTTAAAGAAACAAACATAATAACGCAGACTTATGCCACTTAAATGATCCTAAATCTTATGAGGGGTTTGAATGTAGAAAAACGAAGTTATCTAACACCTGTCAACATTGAGTGGAAATAGACCAACACACAATTATAAAAATTAAAACTGTCACAATACATAAAAAAATTGTCTTTATGGACACATTTTATTACGTTCTAGGATATATGATGAGACGAAATGCGTCTGTTATTAAGGGACATAAGCCGATTAATTGTACAACACATAAAATTAAGTTACTAACCTGTGGACGGTTGAAACAAGCAACATCAAAAGAGCCATCTTGTAAGCCTTCCTCACCAGTACTCCCAACTTGGAGAATAAAATTTCCATCCAAGTCAGTGACCACCTATTCCAATAGGAATAATACTATTAAAGTTTATTGTATCCTACTGAATTATGGATATGAATTTATGTTTAAAGGATATCTTATAATGATCAAAAGCTACTCACTATGCGATTGTGGTTGCTGTCAGAAATGAACAGCCTGTTGTTTAGGAGATCAACTGCAAGTTTTGCAGGAAATTTAAGTGCCGACTGCAACAATCTGTTGTCCTTGTCTTTCTCAAGAGACAATGGGAGAGGACTACTGTTCAACACTTTCTTTTCACCATAAAACTGAAGAGCGGCTTCCACTAAATTATCAAGGTTCTGCAGAAAAAGCAAGTTCACATTAAGAAACATTGATGATCACGCTAATCCATGGCAATAACAATATTAGCAAAGTGAAGAACGAAGAGCCATTATGTAACGAACCACCCATAGAGAAAACGATTCAATGATACAAAGGCTCAACCACTTGTCACATTATATGGAACAGACCAACAAATCCAATTTGGATGATAGATGAGACTCCTTCTACTGAAGTCAAGGGCATGGTAGAATGAGAAGAAGTTACAATAACCAATCACAGAGTTTACTAAATTTCAATAAAAGCAAGGTCACAATTACTAACAGCCATCTACTTTATACTGATGTTTAAGTTTCACTGCATATGATGTCTAGCAAAACAGAATACATCGTATACAGATTTTTTACCAAATTTACTTAAAGAATTATAACATCATCCATTTTTCTTGCATTCAGTACCACACAAATGATTATCAAAATGTACAATGCTCAACTAAAAAGACAGAAAAAGCATAGCTTTATTGTACCAACATCAACTAGTCCGTATAATCCTCCTTTTCCTTTTGAGTCCACACTTCACTATCAACTTTTGCCCATTTAGTATTTGACGTACAAGCAGCTTTTGGTCTGTAAACGTGACATCTTAGGCTATGCATTATCATTACGAGTTGTCAATAAGTATTTTCAAATCAATAGGATTTATCATAGCATGCTGGATGTCATCCCTTGCCTGTTCGTTGGATGTTACAGTGCTTTCTGCAATAAACTTCCATGGTTACTGCTACTCATCAGTCACTTCATGGAACTCTACTTCCATAAAGAAAAACGTACAGCCTCCAAACTTTGAGTTCACACATCAGCACGGAATATTATATCCGAGGCTTAAGATTTTCCGGATTAAATTCCATGGGCAATGAATCAGATTGTTACATGATTACTTTGTCCACGATTTTCAGATGCATAACGAATCACATTATGTTCGCCCTTAGCAATAAAATGCCAAGATTTCAATATAGTTACACTAAGCTGGGTTGTAAGCTTTCACTTGTTGACAAAGAATCATCAGTTTGCAAAAATTCACGCAACTTCAGTAAGAAATAATTTCAGGTTTTATACATGGAATTTCAGAGTGAACCGAGAGATTCTATCAGAATTTTATTTTATTTATTATGTCTGATGACTGTAATGAGTTGGTTTCGAGCCAGCAAGAAACTATGAGGTAAAATGTAGAAATACATGCAGAAATATAATCCGAGGTGCACATCAAGAGAGCATAAGATAAAGAATAGTCCTCATATATCATGTAATAACCAATATACCATCGAATGGGCAAGACTATATTTATTTGGTGACTGTCTACAAAATGAAGAATCCACCCTTTAAAGATACTAATTACCTTTCGTTGTCCTTCCCCAGCTATTTGCGCAAGGAGTTTACCATCAGGGCTAACCATTACAAACGTAGGCCAAGAGTTTATTCCCAATGCTCGCCATAGGTTCATGTCGCCATCATTGACCACCTATAATCATTTGAAAGTTTATCCCTGATAACATAAAATGCGACTATAAAATAATTAAGTGAAGAAAACGATTGACCAAATCTGTCAACTAATTTAGTAATCAACAGGTGGAAATTATACAATGCCAACAACAAAAAGCCATTTCTATGCATGTTTGTGGAAGGGAACGTCAAGAAATATTAAAATGCAAATGACCTTTCAGTTTCCAGCGAAATATAATATCCTCTAATGTTGATCTTTACTTCTTAGCTGTGTAGCACTAGATGAGTTATTTTTATTCAAATGAATAGATCTTCCTTAGAAACAATTGGTCATACCTCAGTCTAAACTACCGAGAACTGCCTGGGTACTCTTACCCACACCAGAAATCCCAACAAGCGATTTTAAAGCTGTCTCAAGTTTCGCACAAATGAAATTGAGACTAAAACATCTCAGACATTGCCAAAAACTCGTCTTTGCATTTCACACATACATCCACAAAATTTCAGAATAGTTCCTGTAGTTGATGGTGCAACTTCAGAGCTTGGATCCCTCCTGAAACCCCATCTCAGCACTAGAAACCATCCACCTCCCCCGTATACACCCAAGAGAAATCCAAATGAGGATAAAATTCAACTTGAACTTTTGAGAACAGTAAATATTTATCAAAAAGGTTGTTCTTACATAACAAGAGGCAAACACAGGGGAACATTGAAAAATAAGAGTCTATGAAAGAAGGAAAAGGAATGTAGTCAGATCTCTCCAAGAAACAGGCATAGGTAACACTTGATTTCCAGGAACCATGATTCATTAGAGGGATGATATATACGCATATGATAATGTACTCCGTCAATCATCAAACATTGTAGCCAGCTCCAAAGCAAAAACAAATATGTATACCGTTAAAAGCTTAAATACCTTCTCCGATTTCAACAATAGGTTCATTAAATATGAATGATGGTATATTTGGTCAAAGTAGGTCTGAGCAAATAAACCGCTAGAAGGAAAACCATTCACCCCAAGGAACTATAAATTGTAATCCAGTAAGAATTTAACAGTTTCCATATTTTGTCCCTGTCTCTCCTTCCTCCGAGCAAGTTGAATTTTAATGATTATAGTCGAGATAACACATGGTCTGGGAGCTCTGATAGGCGTCTAGCACTCGTGGAAGAAGAACTCTAACTTTATTGATCAAAAAACAGTTTACAAGGAGAGCGGGATCTAGTATTTATATCAGATCCCTAGAAGGTTCTAGACACACTGATATAACACGAAATGAAAGGTACATGAGGACATATATGTAAACTTGTAAGGTATACATGTTAATTAAGTGCATCTTGACAACACTCCCCCTCAAGCTGGTGAATGGATGTCGTCCATTTCCAGCTTGGGAATAATCTTCTGCAGTTGTGTCCCCGAGATGCCTTTAGTAAGCATATCTGCCAACTGATTATTTGTTGGAATGTATGATATACAAATCACATTGGCCTCAAGTTTCTCTTTGATGAAATGGCGATCAATCTCCACATGTTTGGTACAGTCATACTGTACTGGGTTGTGCACTAGATTGATTGCTAACTTATTGTCGCAACAAATCTTCATAGGACTGAATAAAGGAATTTGTAACTCGTCAAACAAGTTCTTGACCCAAAGTAACTCACATATTCCTTGGGCAAGTGCCCTAAGTTCAGCCTCAGCACTTGATCGAGCAACTACATTCTGTTTTTTACTCCTCCAAGTGACAAGGTTGCCACCAACAAAAGTAAGATGACTGGAGGTTGACCTTCGATCAATCGTTGAGCCTGCATAATCAGCATCTGTAAACATCTCAACCTCTACTTTTCCACTTCGTTTAAAAAGAACCCCTTTTCCTGGTGTGCTTTTCAAATACTGTAGCACTCGGTAGGCAACATGTAAATGACACTCTTTAGGTTGATGCATAAATTGGCTCAATATACTCACTGCATATGAGACTGTTTGAGGCCATAAAGGGATTTCTTTAACTTGCAAGCAAGATTAGATGAATGATTACCCTCATATCTTGGTGGAAGAGTCATGTAGACTTCTTCAACCAAATCACCATGCAATAATGCATTTTTAACATCAAATTGTTGAATATTCTAGCTGAAAATTCCTGTTAAGGACAGTAAAAAATGAACTGTATTCATTTTGGCCACTGGTGCAAAAGTCTCTTGATAATCTATTCCATATACTTGTGATATAACCCTTAGCCACCAGCCGGGCTGTATACCTCTCAATCGAACCATCCAACTTATATTTCACTGTGTACAGCCATTTGCAACCAACAGTCTTTTTATCTCGTGGTAATTCCACTAGATCTCATGTCAGATTTTTTGCAAGAGCTCTCATCTCCTCATCCATGGCTTGTTTCCACTTAGGATTGGATAGAGCCTTCAAGAGATTTTTTGGAATGGTAATGGTGTCTAAGGATGCAAGGAATGATTGATAGGGTGAAGAAAGTCTGTGATAAGACAAAAAATTGGCAGCTGGGTACAAGGGTGTTTTTGTACACTCCCTTATAGGTTTGCACAGGGTAATGGGAAGTGAATAATGAGATAGGACTGCAGGATCATCAGATGAAGGAGATGTCAATGGCTGTATATTTTCTAAGGCCAGATCAGAATCTTGGATTTTTGGTGAGCCGTGAGTAAACCTTCCCAAACCTTAGGTTTTCAGGAAGCGAATTCAATATAAGACTGGGTATTTCAGGGACTGAAATGGGAATGAACAGGTTACCAACTGAAGACGAGAGTAAAGAATCTACGTGTTGATCCATATGAGCTGTAGAAAATAGATGTTGATCACTGGATGGAGATTCTTTAAAATAAGAATCAGATTCATGAAATGTAACATCCAATGAAATAAAAAAAAATCTAGAAGGTGGGTGGTAACATTTGTACCCCTTTTGATTGGTAGCATAACCAAGAAATACACATTTAAGTGATCTCGGTTCTAGTTTGCCTTTGGTTTGATTATGAACGTGAACAAAAGAGACAACCAAATGTCTTAGGTTCTAGCCTAGTTTTAAGTTGATGGTCTGGGAAAAACTTGGCTAATGAATCTAACGGGCTGAGGAAGCCTAAGGTTCTGGATAGTAATCGGTTGATGAGGTATGTGGCTGTTAGAACAGCCTCCCCCCAAAAAACTTTAGGTACATGATGCTGAAATAAAATTGATCGAGTGACTTCTAAAAGATGACCATTTTTTCTTTCAGTTAAACTGTTCTTATGTGGGGTATAGACACAAGAGGATTCAGGTATGATGCCCTCTGTTTGGAAGTATAAATTCAGATTTTGGCTAAAACACTCTTTAACATTATCAGATCTGAATTTTTTAATACTAGTGCCAAACTTATTTTTTTTCCTGGCACAAAAAAAATTCAGAACATCACACACATCGGATTTTTGTTTGAGAAGAAAGACCCACATACATCTTGTACAATCATCAATGAAAGTGGCAAACCATTTATTACCACGAATGTTATTAATGGGACATGGTCCCCAAATGTCACTATGAATTAGGAAGAAAGGAACATCACTCCTTTCCCCTTGAGATTGAAATGAAGTTCGTGTGTCTAGAAAGGTTACACGCATTACATTTAAGACTGTCCAATGACACCTTTCGAAACAAAGTAGGAAAAAGGATAGATGACCCATCCGTTGGCGAAGTAATCGTATCTTAAGGGCATATTCTAGAGGTTCTAGAGATTGATCCGCTTCCACTAAATGTGTTTAGCTTAGTCCTTCTAAAAGATAAAGACCTTCACACTCTCTAACAACTCCAATTCTCCGATGATGTACCTTATATCAAATATGACACAGACATCTTCATCAAAAAAGACATGATAAGGTGAGTCTCTAACAAGTTTTTTAACTGAAATGAGGTTTGTAAATAACTTGGGGACATGAAGAGCATTAGTAAGAACCCCTAGAGGTTCAAGTCAAATGACTCCTATAACTACGACGGTTAGAAAGGTTCCGTCTGCAGTGGTCACTTTTCTGTCACTAGGACAGGGGTTGTATTTGGTGAAAAGGCTGAGGGAGTTGGTCATGTGGTCCGTTGCACCTAAGTCCACTACCCAATTATTAAAAATATCTCTAGAAGAAACTCTAACTCCAAGAGAGTGGTGAAATATACCAGGTTGAATTGATGAGAATTGTGTCACTGTCATCTTCAGTTTTTCTAACTCAATTCGAAGTCGCTCTATATCCTCAATTTGAGGAGAAAAGAATGTTGATTGATTCGGGAATCTGAAGAATGACTAGTTGGTAATCCTGCTGCCAAATGTGATTGACTGCCATATTTTTCAGTGCCAAAATTTTATGGTTTACCACGCGTAGTTTATAACATATGTCTCTAGTGTGACAAGCTTTCCTGCAATATGTACACCACAGATTATCACGAAAATCAGTCTTCTTATTTCTTCCTTGGCCATGCTGGGGCTGTTTAGCTTGACCTGAGGCTTTCTTCATAATTTCTCCCTGTTTAATCATAAATGCAGTATTGTCAACTTTAGGCACTGACAACATTAATTTCCGACGAGTTTCCTCATTTAAAATGATGGAAATAGCTTCATCCAAATCACATTTCCTTTCACGACTCAAAATCTGTTGTCTGACTTGATCAAAAACAGAATTAAGTCCAGCCTAAAATTTAAACACTTTCTTCGTTCTATAAAATGTCGTAGGAAAACAATTTCTGCAGATTTTTCTGTATCAATGCTAAGATAATAATCAATTTCCTGCCATAAATTTTTCAATTCTCCTGTATATTCCATCACAGATTTATTTCCTTGAATTGTGGACATGGATTTTATCTGAAGTTCATATAAATGTACCTCATTATTTCTTTGTGAGAATTTCGTGTGAACTGTTTCCCACATATCTTTGACTGTAGATAGAAAGAAAAAATCTCGGCTAATCTAGGGAATCATTGTTCCCCAAAGCCAGGTTTTGATTAATGCATCTTCGTCTCTCCATCTACAAAATTCTCGAGACAATGGATTCGATTTCCCTTCAATCAGATCATGTAACATCCCTCTTCCAGTCAATACCTCTAGAACATATTCAGACCATTGAATCAAATTGTATCCAGTCAATTTGAATTCTGCAGGCATTGCAAGAAGTTCTATGAGTAATATTGGACCACTTGGCCAAAGATTAACTTCCCTTGTGGAGATTGGATCCCCCACAGATGATGAAGAATTGTCTCCCACATTCTCCATTTAAAGAGCATGTCCAAATTCACGAAAAAATCAGATTCGTGAACAAATCTCAATAGAGACAAGAAAAAAACGGTGTAAGAACCGTAACAGACCAGTAGATCAGTGCGGAAACAAAGAAATGGAGCGATCACAGCTAAGGAGAAGATCCCTTGCCGGAAGTGTACGGCACCTGTAACTCCAGCAGACGATGGAGAGAACGCCGACAAAGCAGCGTCAACTGTGACGGTGCTGAAAAATAAGGTTTTAAACCCTAGAATGGCTCTGATACCATGTGATCAAGATAACACATGGTCTGGGAGCTCTGATAGGCGTCTAGCACTCGTGGAAGAAGAACTCTAACTTTATTGATCAAAAAACAGTTTACAAGGAGAGCGGGATCTAGTATTTATATCAGATCCCTAGAAGGTTCTAGACACACTGATATAACACGAAATGAAAGGTACATGAGGACATATATGTAAACTTGTAAGGTATACATGTTAATTAAGTACATCTCGACAACAATGATTAATGATGAAACTCTGATCCGTAAATCTAAAAATGATGTATTTTCAAAATGAAGAAAGTTTCTAAGGAGAACATAAATTATTTGTCACCCCACAAATTTCTGAATAGACAGATGGAAAATGACGAAGTGAAATTTTCCCTGACCTGACCCATGCCAATAGACATAGCAATGCATTACGCATGAAAGATTGCATTAAATTCAGAAAACTATCCCTAATCATCATATTCTACTAATCAATGAACCAAAATGTCCGCATTAAATTATTTTAGAGGAATGAGGCACTTTACTCACTGGATGGGTGATGTTATAACGCAAAACTGCATTACGAATCGCTTCAAGGTCTTTTTCATTGTCAAACTTAGCGGAGTGAACTCCAATAACTGTGAACTGCACAAACCTACACACATATTAAAATATGGTGGTCTAAAATAAGTAACAAAGAGAGTACACAAACCAATCAGGACACTAAAAGGCACATTAGAAAGAGAATGGAATCGTCTACTTGGATAAATGAAAAGACAAATAAGCTTCAAAGTCTCATATCAATTTATTATAGAAAATCTGTGGGATATTGCATTTGTGTTCAAGTAAACTCTAATGAAGCAGACAAATGTCATGATGCACGAACATGGTCAGCAATTGGCCGAGCATTACGTTTGGTGAGCATCCATCACAATCTCACTCTCCGAAGTACTCCGAGTAACAGGTTTAATAAGGGCACAGTCCTAGGCCAATAATCCAGGAGCATCTTAATGGCATAATACAGAGATTGGCAAATTAGAGGAAATAATTCAAGAGCAAATAAAGTTGAATACTGAAACAGAATCCTCTCAAGATAATTTCTAAGAACTAGATTCCATTTAAAGATTTTTCAATCCATTCAGCATCAGCAGTTATTTTCCTTAGGCATCGAAATACCACATTCTCCTTTAAAGACATATTTCAAGTACATACCAAAATACGAATAGGATAAGTGAACAGCTATGGCTGACAGTAAAAAATAAATAGAGACCAACATACCGGCATATCTCTGTATTTTTTCTCCAGAAACTCTAGATCGGGCAACACATGCATACAATTTATGCAGCAATATGTCCAGAAATCAAGAAGAACAAGCTTTCCCTTTAAATCCTGAAGCATTAAAATGAACACTTCATAAGCAGGTTACTTGAAGAAATCTGAAATAAGGAAAATAAGAATGGAAACTTTAAAAAAAGCTTAAAACGTCAAATTCCCACAATACAGGAAAAAGGAAGGAAAAAATTTATGAAAGAAACTATTGCCACTAAGAACATATTCAAAACACTAAATTATTTAAAGAAACTGACATCTTCAGCAGTTTAAAGCATAAATAAAACACAACATAGTGTTGGCTGAACTTCGATATTCTCGTCATCAAAGCAATGATTTCATAGTCATCATGGACCTCTTCAGGAAAATTACAATCCAATTCAACACCTCGCCACCTAATACCCCTCCATTTCCTTCCATCATCCGACCATTGTTCATTTCCCTCAACTCTGCATTCCGCAGCTCGCACTTATTCCAGGAAATTAATAAAATTAGAAAATTTATGTTAGCATGAAGTGATGTATCAAGTATCCACTCCTGATTGCAGGTGCCTCAGCCTTCACTGATGCTCCAGAAAAGTTTTTAAGGATACTCAAAAAACATGCTAACAATTTCGTTGCACACTTACATATAACCCTTAGCAAGAAATGATACGATGAATCCCAAGAAAATTGACCAAAAGCTATTCTGTGGTGATCACTTTTAGAGATGAAACTAGGTTCATAGACAGATTGAATCGGACATAGTTGGGAACTAGGGCTCTTACTGTATTTATCACTACCACGCCCATAACTACTTGAGCTTGGATCATCCTCTAAAACTAAAAACGTGACCTTCTACAAATAGTAAGCCTGGTTTGACATATATGACTCTTGTAATCAAGATTGTGGTTTCAAAGCAACAACAGCCTTCGTCCTAAAACCACATTATCAAGCCTCTTGTAAATTTGGGGTAAACCAAGAGACACTCTCTATGTGAGTAATGATAAAAAAATCACTGAAGAATTACTAAACTTTCCTTAAGTAGGGGTACAAGTAATTTGCATAAAACAGTTCTTGATAAAAGGTACACAATATTCAACATGTAACTCCAATGAAGACATTTTTATTATATGATAAGTATATATGGTTTTCTAAATGTTATGTTACAAGGCTTTTGAAATCCTGTAATTTAAAGGATTGGCTATCAGTTTAAATATTGAACTGAGCAATATTCATAGCGGACAGTAGTTGGATGGCGGTGGGATCCACTGAATCAGTTTCCCAATCACATTAAAAAAGGGAAGTATCTTGACAAAGAAAGGTGTGCACCTCACGGGTCACATGGCTCCAGCTGAAGAGGTTTTATAGGGGATTACAAAGATTAAAGTAGCCCATGCATGAAACATTAGAATAAAGGCCTTAATAGGAAAGAATTGACAAAAAACCGATGTTGCAGTCCATTGTCTTGGTTTTCAGTTTTAAGGATACCCTTTGTCGTTATCAAAATATCGTTTTTCTTAATTTTGTTGCGACGGCTGGCATCTCCTCTGACAACCAGGAAGAATTTTACAGGCCTTTTGTTATCTGCTGAGAGCAGAAGCTTTTAGTGCCCCAGCCTAAAATGGAATTGGTTGAGCTACCATAAGGTGGAGACATCAGACGCTGACATCTCTAGCTGTTGATCAAGTCTCCTGACTAATTGCAGAAGCTGACAGACGAAGAGGCATAGATAGTTAGGCAATCAAGTCAAGCTGTTATCATCTCCAGCTGGTTTTATTTCCTGTGCAACTGATTCTCCATTAAATCTGTCTTCATCCTTGAAGCCAAAGTTTATTCTTCAACTGGAAATATCAGAGACATCAGAAAAAGAAATATCCGTTTAAAATAACAGCAGACCCGAGGATGACCTTGTAGGCTACATGAGTTTGATAATGTAAATGGAACTCAAGACATTGAAATCTTGAGTGACTAAGACATGACAGTTGTCAGCTAGTGACTTTACTTCCGATTTACAGAGCTCAAGATATGACACAGTTTTTATTCATGAGAGTTAACATGCATGATTAGTGAGAAGGGAGCAGCTAAGCTGAGTTTACCGAGTATCATATCTTTTCGCAATAAATAAAATTGCAAATGGTTCATTGATCTAATTTTCTGCTAAGTCAGAGTTACCACACTTGCAGACAAGGCAACCAATCCAAGTAGTCACAAACGAGAAGCTTTCTTTATTTTGAGATAAAGAGAGTAGATTTCAGTCTTGCAGTGTGATACGATTCCACTACTAACCTACAAAAGGCGTAGGAAAGGAGCACGTGAGCAGGACTATAAGTACAACATGAGAAGATGGGGTTTAGGGCGGCAAAGTTGGTATTCTGGAGAGGCAGGGGAACCCTCTCGAACATTGTTCCCCACTTTACTCTTCTTGTCCCTTTTCGTCTCTGTATTCGGGAAGGTCATATACGAAGTGTTCCATCCTTTCTGTTTGCCCCGATTCGGTCCTACCCTTGAGGATCGTATCACAGTGGCAGTTTTGTGAGATGTCAGACTAAAAAAATCTATCAGTGGGATTCCTGTTTATGATTTTGCTTCCCGATTTGTTGTGAAACTTCCATTCTTCCTTGATTCACCTAGTCTACTATCTTTAAGTCATTTCCCTCTATTGTTATTGTCTATCAAAACCTTGAAGAATCAGCATGAAAGAATAAGAATAAGAATCCTCTATTGTTATTCACTGTGTTGCTGCAATCCCTCTTAAAAAATACAATCTCCAGTCCCACTCCATAAAGATATCTTTGACAGCCCAGGCAATACGAGATCATTTGTGGCTAGTTTGGCCACGAACAATGATAAATTAGCAAATGGATTTTCTTGAGTTTCATTGTGTCACATGATACCATTATTTCTGACCTGTTGATTCCCCGCCCTCTCTTCACTGCATAAATTTCGAAAGTGTCAACTATCTTTCCACTTCATGAAATGACAAGATTTTTCGGACCAGATCAAAAAGAGTAATAAAAAAAATTCTTATCAAACTGCTTACAACATTAAATCAGAATCCACTATTGCTTTGGAAGAAAAAAAATGGTTGTATGATGAAAACAGGCCTCTACCACATGCCTTCTGAACATCTAAAACAGTATAAAAAACCAAACAATTTTTTTCATGGTAAACTCTTTAAATGATAACTTATTATTACTTCCTAATCGTGGTCAGTATGCCAAAGGCATAGTTTCTTTTCCCTTTTGATTTCTATTAGTTAAGTGTTTAAAATCAAACATATCTTCAAAGGAGTATGTATAAAATATATCTTAAAAGGAAGACAGGACAAAGGTGGTACTAATAATCACAAATATTGAATAATTCAAATAGCTATAGAAGATGAGAGACATTAAATGATTTTATATCAGAGAGTTGATCTATAATTAGTGCAATACATACTCGATTGAATTGAAGTGGAGATGTATTGAGCCAGTCAAGCCTAGATGGAAACTCAGGAACCTTTGGAGTATCGCTCCTACAGAATGAGGAAAAATGTGTTTAAAACAGAATCCACAAAAGACCTACACCTTTAAACCTTTTAACCCTGGACTCAAGGCAAGAGGAATTTGCTACATGCCTCCCTTCTATATCAGCTATGTAGTTCAGAATCTGTTGCATTCTTGCACCTTGGGGATCTCCTATCAAATAGAAAAATAATGACATCAAGGTCCAACCCTTGGCATAACTGAACATACAAAGAAACATACGGGGGCTCTGCCAGTTCACTTAAATCAATAATTTAGACAATGTACGACTAAAAAGATTAAAGGAATCCAAATGAAACCCTGATTCCGAAGATTTCATATCTCTGTGACCAATAAGGGAGTTTAAAGGGATAACAATTTGCATATGAGAATTGAAATTAGCAAGCAAAGTTTCTGTATTTCAGAACACAAACCTTCACTTTGAGTAAAATTAGGACGGCTGACACCAAATAACAGATTTAGCAAAGCCTTTGGAGATGCATATTGCATTGCCTATAAAACCAAATCAAACTGAGTTTAAAATGATGCCATATAAAAATAGATGGAAGAATGTATAAAAGGAGAATCGAAAACACAAAAACTCCACATCTTCTTACACGGCTTAGTCTCGTATCTATACATTTTAAAAGAATAAATAGCCTAGGAAATAAGTTGACATATTTTCAACAATATTTCGTGCCCCCTACCTATAATAAAACTCGACCAAACCAATAGCTACACTTGAGTGGATCCAGATATATGGTAATTGGAATTGGGGTTAGATCAAGATCAACTAAGTCACTTCGTGATCCAGATTAAAGAATGAAATTCACAGATCGTTAAATAAAACTAAAATTCTGAGCACTTAACAAAGAAGATCATAAAATATGTTCATAGTGTCGCATACTACACTTTTAATTTCAGTGCAGAAGAATACCTTCCGATTATTTATAGCAAATATAAGACATGAAATTGCAATACTCAAGCTTCCATATCTCAGAATATCACTCCGAGAACCCTGCAGCCTGTTAAATAATCATTTATTCAGACTGTTTAAATTGGTAAACAATTGAGCACCCTTGATGCAAAGAACAACCGTGTAAAAAATAAATGAAAAAACAAAGCCTTCAAGAACATGTTTACAGTATCTGACAAGGTCATATACCTTTATTTCTCAGCATCAGTGTTAAATATCTCTTAATGTATTCGATTGCAATTAAATTTTGAGGAAATTCTCAGGGCTAATGAGTAAACTAGCCAAACTAATGACCAAATTGCCTGGGTTGCGATCCTTCCAGAAGTGAGGTTCCTTATATCTCAGAGAAGTACAGCAATTCCCACATGATGAATCTGGGAGGATGGAAATTGAAAGGAACAATCTTCTCTTATGCGAAAAATGGAATAGTGTAGAACAGAAACTAGCTCTCATCATTCCTAAACAATACTGATCTTCTGGAAGGCTCCAGAAACAAGCGCATCTCTGGAACCATGTGCAACACCAGATCATCAACCATTGCCTAAAGAAAGCCATATAACGAGAGTAGGTTAAAAAAGGTTGTTCAGATGTGGGTGATGAGTGAGGTTCCAAAGAAAATAGCTAGAAGCAAAGGTTCTTCATATCTTGGGTGACAGGAAGCGGAAGTGTACTAAAAAGAATAAATGGTACTGGGACATGTCTATCAATATACTCTTCATACTTTTTGGATTTTACCTTATGAGCTTTCCTTTGGATTTCTTGATTTTGATCTTGAGTTCCATCCCTTCCCTGTTGGCTCACGTTTTTTCCAAAGTTACTTTAGTTCTTAGATGAACAAAACCGGAAATGGACCAGGAAAATCTCATCATCCACTTTACCACTACATATCCTCAATACATACATATAAATGGTTTTAGGTATTTACTAAGATCACACATTCATTTTCATTCAATTGCCAAAACCTTAGTGAAATATTTACAGAGCTGCCAATAAATGGAGATGAGTAAATAATCAGAACAGCATTTTTATTTCCTTACCATCCAACGGACTCCACTTGGGAAGGAGGCTGTGAATCCTGTGCTAAATCGTCACTTGCATCTTCACCACATTGCTTGGTAGTCATTTCCTCGGAAGAAACATCCCTTGACACCTGCAAGTCTGCAAAGCATTTGCCTACATTAAGCATCAATTGTAGCTAAAAATATTATTTCTCATGAAAAACATAGCAGAGAAAATGCTTGGACAATGGATAAGAAAAAGCAAACCATGAACCATTGAAATATAATATACAAGAAAGTTGTAGCCGCAGACAATAATGAAAAAGATTGTGCCAACAACCTTCAGGGAATAGATTGCGATACTCAATTCCCAAAACAGTTTCCTTTAACCAAAGAAGCAAACTACTTCTATGATATTGTCTTCAGAGTTACATAACATCATAAATTGAATTACATCATCAATGCAGCTACACAATGAACTTTTGCAATGTGTTCCTCAAAATGACATACTATTATGTCCATTTGAATCGCCATCTAAAATGTCAACAATTGTAATATTTCCTATATCTTTTCTGATCAGAGATGGCTCTGCTTTCTGTAGCTTCTCCTCTGATAATGTTGTTGTTACAGCAATGCACCTGTAAATAGCATGAAAGGAGAATAATTGAGCAAACAAAGAATAATTCTACCTCAAAGGGCATATATAGGAAATCAAAGTTAAACTAAACAAGCAGAGATAAACAGAATGAGATACCATGGATAGAATCATGTTATTTATGTAGATATAACAAAAAAAATTAAATTAAGTCAGCTGTGTAAAAAAGAAAAGCAATCCCAATGTAGAAAAGGATCAGATATTATGTCATGAAAAGAAATAAAATGAAGAAGACTTCTCAATTATTGCTGATAGAGTTACCAAGGATAAATCATCGGAACCTTCCTGGTTCTATTAAACCTGTTGAATATCATGTATGCTATTAGGTATGGGTTGTATCAGCTCCCAGGTATGGGCCATGTCGGGCCATCTAGGTCTATGGAGACTTTGGTCTAAATAGCAGAGGCTCTCCCTCTAAAAGGATTGATCTATCACATTTGTCACATGGTGCTAAAGCCAAAAGCCTAGCAGCATTGCCCTACGTCCGGCAACGTGGTCCTCTGTCTAGTGGCATTGATCCGGAAGTCCCATCCTCCGTCCAGTGCTGCCATCCCCTTTGTCTGGTGGCCCGTCCCCCCCTGCAGTGTCGTCCTTCAATTAGTCCAACAATACTATCCCCCTTTAGGCAATGCCATTCTCCCATCTGGTGACACAGTTCTCCATCTGGGATGCCATTCCTCACCCAGCAACGCCATCCCCTGTCTTGCAACGCCATTCCTCACCCAGTAACGCCATCCCCTGTCTTGCAACGCCATCCCCCATTTGGGGTTGCTGTCCTCCATCTAATGGTGACAAAAGGCACCACAAGTGCACACTGCCGCACACATTCAATAGGAGTCATGTAGGGATGGTTTCTTCATCAAATCCAACAGTCAACTCACAATCAAAGTCAACAGTTAAAGTCAGTAATAAAATTCAACAGTCAATAGTCAATAGTCAATAGTCAACGGTCAACTTTTAGTTTTGTCATAACACAACTTTGGTTGTGTTACAACAACCAAGGGAGTGGCAGTCCTGGCTGCATTAGGCAGAATTATCTTATAATACTGCTTACCATTCCTCTAGTAAAACTACTCCATATAAAGTAGTCTATGGCTGTGATCCATTGATTATCATCAATTATGGGCCTTTTCTCTCTCCAATCTCTATTGCGGACCAACAACTACTAGAACGAGACCAAATTCTCAACTTACTAAAGCAACATCTACAAAATTTTCAGTCTCAAATAAAACTCAAGGCAGATCAGCACCGGCGACCCACTGAGTTTCACGTCAATGATCAAGTATTCCTACAACTTCGTTTCTACAGAATGAAATCTCTAGCAAGAAAGGTGAATGAGAAACTCTCCCCGAAGTTCTTTGGTCCATACAAGATCATCTCCCGCATGGGTCAAACAGCGTACAAGTTGGATCTCCCACTAGCATCGTCAATCCATCTAGTGTTCTATATTTCTCAACTATTGTGTGCTTTAGCAACGGCAAACCTTCCCCAGCAATTTTCACCTTCACTCAGCTTAGACATGAAATGGCAGGTCCAGCTTCAATCAATTCTAGGGCTGCGGATGACCCCTATACACCCAGAAGTACTAGTGAAATGGGATAAGCTAAGATCATGAATCTTCATGGGAGCTGGCCCACAACCTTAGACATCAATTTCCAAAATTTCACTTAGAGGACTAGGTGAATCTAAAGGAGGGGGGTAATAATACAATCCTACTACTGACCTACAGAAGGCCTAAGAAAGGAGCACGCGCGCAGCACATGAGAGGGGTTATAAATACAGCACGAGAAGATGGGGTTTAAGGCGGCAAAGTTGGTATTTTAGAGAGTCGGGGAACCCTCTTGAACATTGTTCCCCCATTTTACTCTTCTCCCCTTTTTTGTCTCTATATCTGGGGAGATTGTTCTTCCCATCATTTTGTCTCTCGTTGCTGGTGAGAGTCTGAGTTCAACACAAAGTATTTTGTCTCTGCTGCTTTGTTCAAATTCGATCCTACCATAGAGGATTGTATCGGGACTCTGGCCTGAGATTAGGGCTGAAATCAAATTATTCAAACCAAAGGGACTCAACGAAATTATGGGTACTGCTCAAGCTACGGAGGAGAAGAATATCACCCGCAAGAACATAGGGGAGCAGAAAAGCTACAAGTTGGAAAATCTGTTGTTATGAGGCGAGCACTTCTGATGAACTCGACACAAAAACCAAGAGTCTCCCTCAAACAGGGCTAACAACTAGAAAGATATACCACTTAACTAGAAGGGCACCAAAATCACCTCAAGGGTGGCAAGCAGCAGGAGGAGGTTGATCCTCACAGATCTGAGTTGCAAGATAGGTGAATGAAGGGGCTTTGCTTTTCATGCAATGAAAAATTCCAACTTGGACATATCTATAAAAGAGAACTACAATTGTTTCTAGTTCACAAAGAGGAAGACGACTTGGGAGAAGCTGCTGAACTATGTACCCTTGTACAGATAGTAGATAACGGTAATAATAAAGAAGCTAATATTGAAATTTCCCTTAATTCATTCATTGGTCTACTTATACTAGGTACCATGAAGTTGCAGAGGTAGATCATGGACAAGGATCTCACCATATTGGTGGATTGCAGAGCCATGCATAACTTTATATCTCAAGAGATAGTACAAGAGTTGAAGCTACCCTTATCTACCACCACAAATTATGGGGTGGTCATGAGAAATGGAACAGCCATTAGAGGACGGGAATATGTCAAGGTGTTGGTGCTGAAAATGTAAAAACTGAAGATAAGAGAGAATTTTTTGCCCTTGCAATTGGGCAACATAGATGTTATATTAGGAATGCAGTGGTTAAAGACCCTAGACTTCATGTGGGTGAGCTGGAAACATCTCCAAGTGAAAATTCTATTGGGAGGCACGGTCACTCTCAGAGGTAAGCACCATCTCTATAAGTCTGGTGTATCCCTTCAAGTCTATATAACATGTGATTTCCAGCATGCTGAGGAATTATTTGTTGGCATATACCAACTTATTGGGGAAGCTATAGAGGAATCTCACAACCTACCTACAGCTATAGAGCAAAGACTTGTAACTTCCTTCCCAATAGTTTTTTTCCCCTTGTGAAGGACTTCCTCCCAACATAAAGGTCAATCATCGCATTATACTAGAGGCAGGTAAGGGGCCTATGATCATACGTCTTTATCGCTATTCACATTTCCAGAAATATGAAATTGAAAAATCAGTGAGAGAAATGTGTGATTTGAGAATCATTCAGCCCTCAAAAAGTCTTTACACCAGCCCAGTACTATTAGTTTAAAAAAAAAAACAGCAGCTGGTGGTTTTGTGCGGATTACAAGGGGCTCAACAAGATCACCATACCAAATAATTTTTCAAAACCTACTGTAGATAAATATTAGATGAGCTTCACAGAGCTTCAATCTCTTCCAAGTTGGATTTGAAGGTCAGGTACCACCAAATCTAAATGCATGAGACTAATGTACACAAAATAGCTTTTAGAACCCAAGAAGGGCATTATGATTTCTTGGTTATGCCTTTTGGGCTCAAGAATACTCCTACCGTGTTTCAAGTCTTAATTAATCAAATTTTCAAGCCGTTCCTTTCGAAATTTCTATTGATTTTTTTTTATGACATACTTGTTCTTAGTTCAAATGCAGAACAGCACGATCACCACCTCACTCAACTGTTCCAGCTTCTTCAAGATCATCAATTACATGCTAATATAAAAAGGTGTATATTCTCCAACAACTGAATTGAGTACCTTGGTCATTGGGTTTCAACCATCGGAGCAGAGGTGGAAAACAGCAAGATCAAGGTAATGGGCCATATCGGCCCATCTAGGTCTATCAAGACTCAGGTATAAACCCTAAAAGGATCGATCTATCACATTCGTCACAGAAAGCAACATTCAATGTCACAGTAGAAACATACAATTATTTTCCGGCAGTTGTCCAATGCATAAGAAACTTGTATAACATAAAAAGTTTATATCGCACTGATGCAATATATAAATGTTTAATTATAAATTATTTAAAGCATGATGCTACATACATAAGAAACTTGTATTCTGTATAAACATATTTTAAGATGCAATATCTTGGGCAATCCCAAAACAAACAGTAACTATTCGAAATTTTATAATATTCTATTCGGCAAAATTGTGTGAACCGTACTCTTTATAATCAATAGCATGCCCTTTCAGCCAGATAATGTGACAGAAAATTGTAAATACAAAAAAAACGGTGGACAAAGCACTGTTTCTATTAAAAAAGATTGAATATGTCGTGAACTCTTGGACAAAGCACTGTTTCTATCACGGTGGACAAAGCTTAGTTACAACAATGGCCTTGGCCATTGGGAATAAAGAATCGGGAACTCTTGTTAGAAGTTGACAAACAGAATTAAAAAAGAAGCAGAACATGGGATATTATATGTCATGGCATGATCAACTGTTCTTGGACAGAGAAAAAATATCCTCTTTAAAATAAAATGTGGGGCACACTGTTTAACAATCTTATATGAGCAGACAGTCCGGAAAAATTAAACATTGTGAAGGACATTATTGTTTTGGGTTGTGAGATTCCTACTTTCCGTCTCATACCATGCTAGCGTGTAGGATACAAATAATATATGACCTCATTTTAGTGTTCATCAATCATACACTTGTACACATTCTCCTTTTTTTAGTGATCATGTGGAACTGAACACTTTCAAACATGTTTGTCTCCAAGAATATGTGAAAGATAGCAACTGAGTTGACAATCAGAAACAGAAAAAGACATTCATCAGCAGTTCATGTCATTAAGTACCTCATGTCAGCAGCCTGGGCAGCTTGAACTCCAGCAAGAGCATCTTCTATTACAATACACTAACAGAAGGGCATAAAGTCAGATCCATGTCATGGAATAAACTACCATGACAGCAAGTGCAAATGAAAAGCGAAATCAAACGTTTCAGTCTATAGTAAGATTGAGATGCCCATCACAAAAGAAAAAGTACCAAACAAAGCTGATAAAATCTGACAAATCCTTTAATATTGTGAGTTTCTCTCATTCTACTCTTTTAATATTATATTTCCCTTGATTAGAAAATATACTTGAAAGCATTTAGATTTCAAATTAGCAAATTCAAGAAAAAATTATCCTTTTACACAACCTTAACTCGTATTAATAAAAATCCAATTAATAAGTGACATTGATGGGCGTATATGATGCTTAAAGCAATTGGTAGTCATTCTTGATGGCATCATATCATCAAGACTGTTACATTTCATCTGCTTAAATAATGAACAATGATATCAATGTTAACAAGATCTGCTGATAAAAAAGTTACCAACTTAACAGGCTCCTTAACATAATGACAAAATTGCATATTCAAAATAAAAGTAATCCAAGAACCTTGAATCTCCATAATCAAATTACTGTTCAGTTCACTTTAAATAAATAGATAAAATAATTATCTTCCAATCTACCCTTTATGATCACACAATACGTTACAAGTTGACTCATTCAAGCTATGAAATCACATTATCTCCATCTAAATAGAAGCCGAAAACACCCTAACCAATAAAGTCCATGATAATATAACAAAATAGAAGAATTCTCCGAAATGAAGCATCTTGCACCACTGTAGCAATGAACGAAATGTAGACAAATGTTATGATTTTTTATTTTAATAACCTAAAAACTGAATGTTTAGAAGTGTTAAACATAATGGGCTCCCTATGTCGCAGCCCACCTAGTGGACCGTCATTTAGTGGTAATGGGTCATGTTGTGGCCCATTACGCTGCCCATTATGCTGCCTCACAGCACACCTTCTACATGGTATCAGAGCGTGGTTAGGGTTTCAAATCCTTCTCTGGTGCTTCACGGGTTAATGTCACAGTAGTCGACATCCTCCACTGACATCTGCCGGAGTTATTGGCATTATGCTTCTTCCCACCAAGGTTTTCCACCTCCGCCAAGTATTTTTCCGGTGAGGTCTTCTGCCTCCGCCATGCCTCTTTCCGGCAAGGTCTTCCACCTCTCCCCCTTTCTGACAAGCTCTTCCACCTCTGATGTGCCCCTTTCTGACGAGGCCTTCCGCCTCTACAGGGCATCTATCCGACAAAGGGCGTCCTTCGTCAATGTCTTCCTCCATGACTACTATTGCTGCTGCCTCTGTTTGGCATCAACTTTGTCGAAAGTTTCTTATCTGCCGCCAGTGTCCTCACTGCCACTACCACCACCACTGCCATCTCCTTCAGCAATCCGGCATATTTGATGTCTGTGGGTGTCTTTGGCTTCTTCTGGTCAACGGTAGCATTCACAGTCAATAGTCAATAGTCAAATGTTCACTAGTCAATGGTCAACTATAGCAAAAGGACTAAAACCTACTGTTCTACTTACCAAATAAAATTACTTTGTGACAAATCACAAGTTGACCGCAAAGAATTATCATCACTAGCAGAGATCAGTGATAATTTATTTCAAAGGACAAGATAAAGATTAATCATCTATTAAAAGATGTGCCAATTGATCCTAATCTACGTGTGCAGTGGGGGCAGCAAGATGCAATCCTCCTAAATCTAATGTGAAATTCTATGGAGACTCATATTGCACACTTAGTGAGTAATCTGGACACATGTAAGGCAACATGAGATCATGTTAATTGATGTACTCCAACAATATCTCTCAGATATATGATATGACTATGAAGTATTATGGGTTGAAATAAGGTGAAACAGATCTGAGTCAGTACTTTGGTGAGATCGCTCGTCTTACTCAGGATCTCTACTACTTCCTTTATCTAATGATCTCCAAGTGATGAAGAAACGATAACTTCCTTTATCTTGGTGGACTTCATCTTGAACATAATGGAGTTCATAGTTAGATCCTATTAGAAATGGAGAAAAAACCTCATCACAAAAGACAGAGGGGAGAATGGTAGAAACCACCTCAAGATTCATTCAACTCTAACCCCCATTATATAAGGAGTAATAATACATAACTTGTGCAAAAACACCCTCAATTACATAATTTTCTTACGACCTAGAATTTCTAAAACCCCTCCTCAAGATTGACTTTGGAAAAGTTTATCTTGACTAAGTTGCTAATGACAAAAATCTTGCCCTCTAAGCATTCACTTGTTGGTGATGACAAAGATCCATTGAGGCAGCAGCTCTCCCTTTGCTGGTAGTCAAAGATAACCACTGCTGAGGTTGTGGATTTGCCCACACCTTTGACTCTTTTGATGCTTGTCATGCCCCAAGAACAACACACCATGAATATGCTAGCACGTAGAGAGTATATATCTACTTAAAGACCTACATAGTGCCGAGCTCTACTGCAAAGATGCTGCTGACATGGCCAACTATGGCAATTGATGTGATGTCGGGTCTCAACTCTCAAAAGAGGCAAGGGCCAGCAATTCTCTAATGGATTGAGTGAGATTGAGATGAATGAACTTGTGGACGAACTGGATGGCGAAGAACATTCCAATGAAGGTAGAAGTGAGCAGAAAACACCAGACAACATGGACTGTCGAAAACTTTGGTCGCCGGACTATGGAGGACAACAGACTGATGCAGAATAAAGGGAGATAAAAGAAGATAACTCTAGACTAAGACAAGGGTGGATAAGAGAGGTTGATTTTACCTCTCATAAAACATTGGTGAAGATGGAAACAACAATAAAATACAGATATTTCAGCCTCTAGACAGAAGGTTTGAGGTAGACAGAAATGTCGCCAATGAATTTGAACTCAAATATACTGTCAAATGACAGATGAAGATCACGATAGAAGAAATGAGACAGAGCAAGATCAGTGCTCTCTCGTCGTAGAACTGCCTGGCCGGCAGAGGACCTTGTTGGAAGAGGAGATGACAATGGACTCGTCGTCCTAGACAAGAGGACTGATGGAAGTAGCACCGCTCTGAATGGCGGAAAGAAAACCTGCTCAAAATGGTGGAAAGATAACACGCCTTCCATGGCGCAATAAGTGCATTAGGATGACACCAAACCAAAACTCGGTACAGGCAGAAGGCCTTGCCAGAAGGATACTTGACAGAGGCAGAATGTTTTGCCAAAAGGATATTCGGCAGAGGTGGAATACCTCACTGGAAGGTACTTGGCAGAGACAGAAAACCTCGCCGGAAAGGTACTCGGCAAAGGCAGAAGGCTTTGCTGGACAAAGAGGGGTTTGAAACCCTAATCTGTAACCTGTTTGTCGCCAAATGCCAATGATGGTGGCATCGATGCTCCCCCAAACAAGAAACGCCAAGCAGAACCTACACCAAACAGAGGCGACAGTAGCAAATAGAAGATGTCGGATACTGCCAAACTCCAGTGATGGGGGGTGATGGTGCTCCCCCAAACAATAGATGTCAGACAGAGCCAACAAAATCCTAGCGGAACAAACCCACTCTAATACCATGTTGGAAATGGAGAAAAAACCTCATCACAAAGGGCAGAGGGGAGAATGGCAAAAACCAACTCAAAGATTCATTCAACTCTAACCCCCATTATATAGAGAGTAACAATGCACAACTTTTGCAAAAACACCCTCAACTGATTACATAATTTTCTTACGACCTAGAATTTCCAACATATCCTAATAGGAAATGAGCTGCCGGCACTTGCTGAAACCTTTCAACATGTCTCTCGGTGGTTATTTTGGGAGAGGGGGAAGTAGAGGAAGAGCTTCTGAAGATGATCAGAAAAAGGAGTGCAAATATTGCAGAAACAGGGGCAAACAAGGGATAAGTGTTATGCACTTCATGGTCGTCCTCCAAAGATTCCCAACATTGTTTTAAGTGGAGAAGGAGGATCTTGAGTCATACATCATATGCCACTATCTGATGAGTATGCTCACCTACTTCAGTTTCGAGTTGCTCAACAACCATCAATACCAGTTACTACCTCGGATACACTTGGGATATTTACACACACACATATCTACATCCTCTCTAGGTGAACCGCCCCACTAGGTTCTTGACACAGGTTCTATTGACCTTATTACAATAAATTCATATCCTACTATAGTCATCCTAGTCTTTCTACTATCACCTTAGCAGATGGTTCTACCACACCTATCATAGGTATAAGATCTACATATCATAATCCCAACCTTCCACTCATATCAATTCTGCACATTCTTAAGTTTCCTTTTAACCTTATTTCATAATAACTCACTAAATCCCTACAAGCTGCCATAATCTTCTTTCCTGAATCATGTTCCATTCAAGACCTGAAGACATGGCGGAGGATTGGTGAAAGATATGAAGATAGAAGATTGTACTACTAGGGAAAACCTTATTCTGCTGCAAGTGTCGCTATTTCACCTCTTCAAGTCCATAGTCAATTAGGTCATGTATCTCTTAGAAAACTCAAATTGATAGTACCTAATTTTTCTAGAAATATTAGAGTGTGAGTCATGTTAATTAGGTCAACATCATTGTTCTAGCTTTGGGTCAAGAACTTTTTTAAGAGTTTAGTTTATTTTTTATTTAGTCCATTCTGATGTATGGGGGTCCTAGCCATGTCAATTCTAAACTAGTTTAAATATTTTGTTACTTTTATTGATGATCATCATTCTTGTACCCTAGCTCTATCTCATGAAAAACCGATCAATATCTTTTGCTCATTTTGTGTTGAAATTAAGAATCCATTTGGCAAGAATATTCAAATACTTCATTATGATAATGTAAAGGAGTATTTAGTTCATCTTTTACACAATATATAACCATCCAAGGCATCATTCATCAATTGTCATGTCCTGATACTCAACAAAATGGGATAATTGAGAGGAAAAACTTTGATATCATTGAGACAGCCCATATATTACTTTCATATATGAATGCCACACTTGAGTCCTGAAGTGATGCCATTCTTACAACCATCTACCTAATTAACCATATGCAATCATCAGTTATAATCAGAAAAATCCTCATTCCATTCTTTATTGTACTAGCCCATTTTACAATGTACCACCAATTATTTTTGGGTGTACTTGTTTTGTCCATCATTTAGATACAGGTCGAGATAAATTTGATCCTAATTTTGTGCAATGTGTTTTCTTATGGTGCTCTCACGCTCAAAAAAGATACAAATGTGTCTACTAATGTTACCTTCTTTGAGAGCACTCCTTTCTTTAATGTCACAACCTACTGATTCTCTAGATGAATCATTACCTATACTAGTTGTTGTTGAGTCAATCTTTGTGGATAGTCCTAATGGGATCTCAAAGCAATTAGATAATAGGTTAGGAGATAACACACTCCAATCACACACGTGTACACATGGCGAAAAGCTCCTTCAGCACCTCTTGAAGCATCTACTTCACAAACAATCCTTCTTACGTCTAAGGGACTAGAAGTGAGTAAATCTGTGACAGGTGACCTTGATCTCCCTATTGCCTTACAAAAAGAGAAACATTCTTATATACATTATCCCACTATCCTAGTCTCAAGACTATTTCAAAAGCACTAAGTCATCCCGAATGATGTGCCACTTGAGAAGAACCAAACTTGGGAGCTTGTCTCATGTCCCCTAAGAAAGCATGTTGTTGGCTACAAATAGGTCTTTATAATTAAAGACAGACTTGATGGTATAGTTGATCTCTTGAAAGCTCAATTGATGGCAAAAGACTTCACTCAAGTATATGGTGAAGATTATTTAGAGACTTTCTCACATGTTGCTAAGATTATTTCTATATGTATTGTGTTTAACTTGGTAGTTCACTCCTCTTGGCCTCTTTATCAGCTTGATATAAAGAATATATTTCTTTATAGCACTTTGTAAGAAGAGATATATATGACATAACCTCCAAGATTTAATGTGCACAAAAGCTCTAATACAGTCTACTGATTGTAGAAGTCCTTTTATGGTTTGAAACAATCTCCTCGAATATGATTAAATTAGTTCAACAACACTTTGAGTGAGTTTGGTCTTCAGAGATGTGATGTTGACCACTCTGTCATTTATCAACACTTCTCAGCCAAATGTATCTTATTAGTTGTTTATGACGATGGCATAATTATCACTAGGAGTGATTCTGTTGGTATATCTCACCTCAAGAGCTTTTTGCAAAGCTAGTTTGCCACTAAGGATCTAGGCAATCTCAAGTTCTTTCTTGGTATAAAGGTTGCATGTTCTAAGAGATTGTGATTAATCAACAGAAGTATACTCTTGATCTACTTGTAGAGACAAGCATGACTAAAGCAAAACCAACTAATACTCTTATGAATCTCTACTTAAAGTTGTCTCATGCACAGAGAGAATTATTAAAGGATCTAGGAAGATATTGATGCCTTGTTGGGAAACTCTTCTACTTGATTATCACTCGACCAAATATTTCATTTGCTACAAGTGTTGTAAGTCAGTTCATAAATTGACCTCATAGTAGGCACTTTGTAGTTGTTATATAGATTTTTACAATATCTAAAGAAAAATCCAGGCCAATGATTATTATACAAGAACCATAGTCATCTTAACATCCAAGGTTTTACTGATGTAGATTGGGCTAGAAGCAGTACATACAAGAGATCTACAACTAATTATTGCATTTTACTCAGCGACAATATTATTTTGTGATAGAGCAAGAAATAGTTAGTAGTTTCACAATCTAGTGTAGAGTCTTAATATAGGGCTATGACAAATACCACATGTGAGCTCATCTAGATTTGACATTACTTAGAAGAACTCAAGGTTCTTCCTCTTGGTCCTATAGAACTTCAATGTGAGAGTCAAGCTGCTATCTATTGCATCTAATCCGATCTTCTATGAGTGCACAAAACACATCGAAGTTAACTGTTATTTCATTCGAGAGAAGATTAATGCTCAACTCACGACTACTATTATTGTCTCATCTAAAGATCAACTTGCAGATCTTTCAGAAAATCTCTCCATGCTCCTCGGGTGTTAAATGGATAGTGTGTCATCAATGCTCCAACTTGAGGGGGGGTGTTAAATGCAATGGGCTCCCTATGTCATGGCCCACCTAGTTGACCATCATTTAGTGGTAAGGGGTCAAACATGTCATGGCCCATTACGCTGCCTCTAGGGTTAGGATATAAACCCTAGATCATCGTTGTTAGTAATTAATTCAGTGATTTTTCCACCTTCTACAAGAAGATTGGAACATTCTAGACATTATAACTCTAAATCAAATCAAAAAAACATCATTCGCAATTTCACGTTAATTGAATTTCCCAACTTATCATGTTTTTTTCACAAATAGTTGCATGCATAGAGAAGAAAAATATGGCATTTCATGCATTAAATTCTCCATTTAAAAAAATCATTCTTGAAATCACACTATTTTCACACACTATTTTCATGCATTAAGTTCTGATCTTGTATTTAATTTGAATATAAGAATCCGTATTCTAGCATTAAAAGGTAAATCTGAGCTCTAGAACCATCAGGTTATAACAAATACAAGGTGTTTCATTTTTTAAATATAAGAATCCTAATCAGATAGGCAGGCCAACCTTGAGAGGAGGGAAGAAGGGTGGGGAAGGAGATGAACGAACAGCTTCTATAGGTGGGCAGCAGGAACTACAGCTTTCAACTTGAGAAGATATTCACATAAATTATTCTTATGCCAATTGGACTTCAAATTAAATATTGTCAATTGGGCAAATCCAGTCCGATCTGCAGCTGGCTGACTGGAAGCATATGATCCAATACAGAAGATCTTATGATCCAAGAGTGATGAATTCGTAGCTCTATAGATATTATAGCCTAAGTACATATTTTCAATCTAACTCAGTTTGAAATTTTTTTAATTAAATAGCTTTAAAGTATAAGCAAGCCTGTTTCGAAATTTTTGAAATAACATTAGAAGACAATAATGAAAAAATTAAATAAACATAGGGCACCTTGGTACATTTTTACCATGAAAACAAATGATACTTCTCATAAATGGAGAAATACAGACAAGAAAAAATATTTGAAACTCTACATGGTGAAGGAAAAGAGAAAGAGAAAGGAAAATGGTGCATTCAAACACACAAATCAAAAGGCATCTAGGGCATCAAAAATGAATTCTTTCCAACAAACAAAAAATCTAGAATAAAAAAACATAAAATCCCTAGTACAGAGAAAAAGATAAGTCCAAGGAAATAGCATTCGTTAAGGTCAACAGAAAAGATGCATATATACCTCACTTGGAGGAATATTCAAGATCTTAGACGCTGCAAAGAAGATATCAGGTGCAGGTTTCAAGTTTTCGAAGGCATCAGCGGACACAATTGCATCAAATCTGAAAAATCAAAAGAACTTCATGACATAATCAACTTTCTACACAAAAATAAATTTTTAGACTCTCCATGAAAAATAAAAGGCATACAACATTTTTAAAATGGACCATGTGGCAAACTTTAGAACAATGATCCTGATAAATGATTCAAATTCAACCCTATAAACCAAAAACTATTCAAATATCAATTTTTTTGTCAAAAACCACTCATTAGTGCTTCCAGACCGAGGCTAGTTGACTGTTTCTTTTAACCTCTTTCGCACAAGTCCTTATTAAAACATATAGTGACTGACATATAATTCATAGAAAGATAAATTTCTTGCTCTAAAATACAGACAAGCAACCCAGAATTTTACTCTGTCCTTGTTCCAATGATATCACCAGAAATGACTATGCTGTCATACATATGTAACCAAATAATCCAACCAACAGCATTACAGACCTACCACTTTGATGGAGAGAAGAAGAAGCAAAAATTTCCTATTCATCATATATCAATGTTCACATTTTCAGACAATTTACATAGAAACAGTCCCAAAGAGGTCTGCCTCATTGGTTTAAAATGTTCAACTTCATCTGTTCTTCAAGCAGTAGAGAACACTGAATGTGTAAAAACGACCATAGCAGAGTTTCATGTGATGTTGATCACTCAGAAATTTAAGTACTTTTGGTTTGCAGAAACAGCTATCATTCAGAATCTAAACACATTCAAAATTTCTCATTTGATTATTTCATAAATTTCTGACTTTCAATGTACTATTTATTAATGAACAGTACACCTACCACTTTCTGACTGAACCAGTCACTTTTCATTTTGACAAATGCCTTTCAGTCATTTTCAATCAAATACTCAGTGGAAAACATAAGAGCACAACTACTCTCTGAAAGAGAGAAGAACCAGTGTTCAGATTCCTGGGGAATTACAAAATTGAACAGTCTCAACAAAATGCTTGACTATACTTCGGGAAAATAAATAGTTAAACATTGGATTGCCAACTGATGAGAATTATATAAATTTCCACACATTCATCAAAATAGCAAGGCATAATTATTGAAATAGTTCTGAATGCATTGATCGTCAATGAAAAAAGTGGTTTTCATGATATACAGAAAGTCCCCTAAAATTCAATACATAATAACGTATAGTCACTGCTAAAACAATTTTTTTGAAGAGAATCACTGACGAATTCTACACACAGCAGCATCATTGACATTGAAATAGTTTGAGAACACCATTTATCTACAAAAATGACTTTTTATGTCATCAATAATGTTATTCACCAGCACATTATGCAGCAAATGTCATTCCCAAACAGATGATAAATTTGGCCACTTTGAGAGAGTAGACGATACACTATGATAAATACCTCCTCAATTTATCGGTGTTGATTCAAGGCAAACTAATCAACCAGTTAGTGATGGAAATTGAATCACTTACAAAGATGAAGGCAAATTGGCCGCCGCCAGGTTGGCGTCTACCTTAATCCGGTCAGCGCTAGATGCAACAGCAACTTTAAGTCCTTGCCTCTTGCACTGGTATTCGATCATGAGCATTTTTCAAGGGGAAGAAAAAGGAAAAATGGAAGAAAATCCTTCAAGGTTGCTCACAGAGGTCAGAGCTATGACGCCACTGACCTCCTCAATAAGTTCTATGGCCCCCGGGAAGCCAATCCCAGATTCTGGCTTTGCGTACTGGAAACAAAAGGAGAAGACAGTTTAAAGGAGAACTAAATGAAAACCGCATGAAATGCGGACAAAGGAGAGGAAGGGTTTCCCTAACTTGCCTTCTCTAGGTATATCTCAAAGAACCTCTTCTTTGCAGCATCCGGATCAAAGCCAGTGACGCCCTTCAGCTTTGCAACTCCACCCAGGAAATTTGCTTCCCCTGGCTCCAAACATACAGATTTTAACCATCAGAAGACGAAAACATGTCAGATAAAAGGGGTTGAATAAATATTTCGAGTTCTTCCAGGAGAAGGGGAAATCTCAAGTCACGCACCAGTGCCCATGAAAGGCACAAAATCCTCGGTGGTAACTGGTACGCCCATCTCCGCGAATAAGTCGACTGCAGCCATCCTCGATGGCTCTTCACTATTACAGAGCACGCCGTCCATGTCGAAGAGGACGGCGGACACCTGCCCCCAAGCGCCCGTACTTCCCTCCCCACCTTCAGAGAATCCTTCCCTCTCCACTCTTCCGTCTGTTTCCACCTCTTCCTGCGGCTTTTCCTGCATCGATGGCTGCCGGAGGGAACACCTGCTGACTACCCCGCAGAAGCCTCGTCGGCGGACAATTGCCGGTCCTGACCTCCAGCATCGGAAGGGATGGGTAAATGTCGTAGTAGCCGATCGGACATCACCACCCGTCGACCACCAGCTTGTGGTCGAGGCGGCGATCGCCGGGGCAGGCGCCATCCTCTCTCTCTCTCTCTCTCTCTCTCTCTCCCTATACAAATCCGCCAGAACTTTTAGATGAGGGGTGAGAGGGAATGCAGGGGCTAGCAGCGTCTGTGGCTCCGAGCTGGACTAGTGATAGAAAGACATGATTACCCTTGCCCCAGATGACCGTTGGAGCCGCCGGGAGGGCGCCTTGACACATGGCGACACGTGGCAAGCGTTCTTTTAAGGTTAATGAGCCGCCCAAATATAAAGCCCATCAGAAATTGTTTGAGATAGTGGGCCGATTCGGAAACCGGTCCAGGAAGTTCGACAGTAGGTTTTCGGTTTCGTCTTCCCGCGCGCGATAGAGAGGGGCGGAGGGGAGAGAGCGAGAGAGAGAGAGAGGGAGGGAAATGGTGTCTACTGCGGCTGGGGCGACAAGTTCGGGGGCGGGGCTTGAAGGGGAAGAGGGAGAGTCGATCTGGGGTGAGGACGATGCGTCAATCGCAGAGACGACGGACGTGGAGCTGTTGAAGAGGGCGTGGAGGAACGAGAAGGCGGCGCCGGAGATACTCCTGTTCGAGGCCGGCCTCGTCCAGCGAGCCCGCGAGCAGATTCAACTCCTGGTTAGTCACCTATTCTCTCACGGGTGCCTCCGAAAACTACCGGCTCCATGTAGAAGCTTCAAAGGAAAGAGTATGATATTTTTATTTTTGTTTTTGGTGCCGAGTGAACTCAATTGTTATGTTGTGTACACCGATGTACTCTTCAGATCGAAGATGATTGCGAATTTCTATTGGTACATCTCTTGTCTGGATAATTTTCGCCGACCTCACATCCTGAAATGCCTCAACTGTTCATGTGAACAGTCCAGAAAATCACTGTTTTAATTTATTAAGGTTGTAGCGGAAGACTGAGACTGCATAAATGCTTGTGTTATTGCTCTCGTTGTTTCTCCTGTGATTTCAGAAGTCATAACTTTTGAATCCATTCGTTGTAACGCACTGCATCTGCAGTGTGGAGTGCCGTCTTTCCCTGATAGTATCTGTCCGGTTGGTTTTGATAAATAACACTCCTCTGGTGTGAATTTTGCTTTTCTTAGGAAGAGACGGTGGAAGACTTTGTTGAAAATGGTACGGATGATCTCATCGTCTCCCTGTACCAAATGGATCTGGATAGGTCATTGTTTCTCCTAAGATCATATCTTCGGGTACGACTTCAAAAGGTTGGTGGAAATCTCATTCTATCTGTTTTTTTCTATATACAGTTTAAAGCTTAGTTAGTAACTGGTGCTTACTGGTTATCCTAAAATCCTCAGATTGAAAAATACATGTTCCACATTTCAAGAACCGATCTGTGGAATCGGCTTTCTGAGCAAGAAAAGAAGTTTTCCAAAAGGCAAGTCTTTACTTTTAGAACATCAGACGTTCTTTATCCAGATGCCCACTTTACCTATAATTGCAACAATTTTCGTACTGTGTCATAAAATCGTTTTTAATCGACAGGTGCGTTAATGCTATGGAAAAACATCTTGAGCAATCTGTACTGTCACGACTACCTTATGGCTATCAGTCCATTTTGAAGCAATCAATTTCCAGTGAGGAAGATGACATGGGTATTGTTGACTGCAACCTAGGAAGCCTCCTAATGTTTTGAATGCTTCTTTTGTTGGCAGCTATGGTAACTCCAACTAGTCTTTGACTAGACCCAGGAGGATAGAATACTTTCCACGTAACCCTCTCCACCCCCCACCCCCCCAACCGACAAAAATTTATTCAATTGCTTGTTTGAATAAGATATGCGTCTGTTGCATCCTTATGGCCTAATGGACTGTGAAATGAGCGCATTGTACTAAGTCTCTCACTTTTCTTGTTTGTGTGTCCATGTAAAATATATGATGTTGTTTCCATTAGTGCTAACATGAGCAAGCTTTCCAATTCAGTATTAAGAGGAAAAAAAACTTTCAAGAGTGGATGTCTGTGATACAAATATAATTTTTCTGTAACAATTTTTTCTTTGCTGATGCAATCCTAGATCCTAGAGGTGTGGACAAAAATATTATTTTAATGAAGAAGAATACGACTTTACCATTTTCAAAGAGTTGAGGTCACTAAAGGGTCTTTCCGATTTAATTGTGATCTGTTACTCATATAGAGGAAGTTAAAGGACCTGATTACTGAATGAACTTGTAGTATTTTCACTTTCGGAGAATCTAAATAAATTTCTTAGCATGACATTTTCACTTGTTGTCTGTTTTGTTGAGAAACTGGAGAAATCTTGTGTTAATGATTCCTTCTGCAGGAATTTTATTGTCTGATTGAATTTTTAACGGGTTCTGTGTGATTCTCTGATTTCCTATTTAGAATAGCAATGTCATACGTGCGAACTGCTTTCTTATGAGAGTTTTGTCTCTGTTTCAAAGAACTTAGCTATTAAGAAAGGATGTTGGCCACAATCTGTGAACCTTTCAGGTAGGAGGATGACTTCCACTTTGGACCAGGAGATATCCTCGGATCACCAGCAAGCTTTACTGGTATAGAAAGCTAGTAGAGTGAGTATTAGAGGTGGACTGACCTTTTCTAACCTCCTGCTTCCAAGGGGTTGCAACATAGCAGACCTCCGTGTTTATGAGGACTTTTTTAATAAACCTGCTACAAGAGCTCATTCAATTTTTATATAGTTGTGTCCAAGTGATTAAAAGAGTTTCTCTAAAGTGATGTCAAGTTTCAAGATGAGGATATCCCAGATCAATAGCCAAGGAGCACACATGGATCACTCAGTAAAAGCCTCAAATAGGAAGGTCACAGTTCCCCCCCCACTGCATGGATTGAAGCTCCCTCCTGCCTTAGGAACCCAATGATAGTGGGTGCAAATTGTTAGGCATAGATAAAGCACGTACCAAGGTAAAACATCGATGAATCTCCACACATATCAACAATGTGTGGGAGGGTTTTATGTATCCAATGTGAGGGTTTCGTCCATCATTGCATCAACAGTTCCTTCTCAGATTTCCCCTGCCTGTTTAACTGATTCAAGTTTGCCATCGCACTTTGTAGCTGACGGACGATTGATTATTCCCTCTTCCTCAATTCCGACTGGGTCACCACTAAATCCCTTGCTTTGTTGATTGATCTCAGTCCCAGAGCCGAAGCTGGACACATTTGTCTTCTGCAAGAGCAAGGGTGCTGTCGGAGCTTTTCAGCTTGATGACGTGTACTCTCTCCTCCCGATTTCCTCCTACTACCATATTTCTTCTCACAGTTAAGCTCAGTTCAACTCACCTAAGCATGCATCTTTCTTTTACTATGTGAAGTGGGGATGAGATTGTAGATTTGGTGTCCGATGATCTCTACGTTCTCCGATACAAGTCTATAAAGGGTCTCGTCGAAGGCGGACGGATCGACCTCGTCTAGGGTTGCTTCCTGCTGCTGATGGGGTTCCTCTGTCATCAACCTTTCTCCCCGACCACAGTAAGTGTTACGCCCACGTCCATTTTCATATTTGGCGAGAAGGATGGAGGAATACTTGATTAATAAGGCATAGTTTTCTGGTTTGCGGGCGTTGACTTTCAAGAAGGTTTGGTTTTTCTGTGATATATTTTTCACTACTGGGTTTTCGAGTAAACTGCATTCTCGGATTGGGCACTAAAAAAACCCAAAACAAGAAAAAAAAAAAAAAATTCAGTAACCTAGTGCATGTATGATTTGTGCTTCTGCTTGTTCCGTACAAGATCTGGTGCTCTCCTGTGCTCTTGGTGGGCTCCTGCCCCGTGGCGTTGGACCAAGTTTGGTGAGCTCGTATAGATCTCGTATAGAGATGTTGATTCATTCAAGTGAAGCTAATTTTTTATGGCTACTAGAAATAAATCTCCATTTTTTTAATCGGGTCTTCAAAATCAGTCTTTTAAGTCATTCAAGCTGCCAAATGTTCAGAGTGATTATCCCAAACTTGTACGGGCCTAGGCGAGTCCAAGCCTTTTAAATGATTTGAGAATTAATTCATTTTTAAATAACTATTGGAAAGTATTTTTAGTATTTTCATATTAGTAATTTCTACGTTTTATTACAAACAAGGAAATTTTATATGATGGACAAACCTTCTACTGAGGAGCTCTCCTCTTCAGGAGTCAAAACTTAATATTATGGTTGTTCTGTGGCCGAGATGTAAACTATTTCGAAATTAATTAATTTTTAAATAAATATGGGAAAGTACTTTTATATAAGACTTGTTTTTTAATTTTAAGACAGTAAATTTATATGGTGGCCAGACCTTATCCTATTGACTTCTCTTAAGGTGTCATAAACGTAATTTTATGGCGGTTCTGAGGCAATGTCTAGTCCAAGACTTGTAAAAGCTTTGGAAATTATTTAATTAATAAGTGAATATTGAAAAAACATAACAACATTAGTATTCTTTTTTTGGTTTATGACATTTAAGGAAAAGGTTGACAAACATTTTTCACCGAATAGTCTGGACTTCTAAACTGAATGAAGGTGTCATCTATCTGATTTTATGGTTGTTAAATATTTGGAAATTAATTAATATTGACATAAAATATTGGAAATACTTTTATATTAGTATGCCTTTTACAAGGCAAAAGTATTTGGTGCGCAAACCTTGCACTTACACCCCATTTTAAGCCTTGTAAGAGATCCTGAATACAACTAATTTTGAAATAAATATTGAAAAGTAATTTTATATTAGTAGCATTGTTCTTTACTTTTTATTTACAAAACGAGGATAATTTATACGTAAACAAAACTTGCACTGACTACCTTTCCCTTATTGGTATCGGCCAAGTCCTCAGATGGGCGGATATCAGAAATGGGCCACAGCCGCAGCTGCCACGAGCTTCCCTTGGAAGTATAAGACTGGACTAGGCGGCTAGGGTTTCCCTTCTCAGCTCTCTTACTCGGGGGAGCCTGCGTGGGGGCGCGTCTGGTGGTACTGTTTTTTTTCTCTTCTCTACAGATTCATTGCAAGTACCGGTTGCTTGTGCGTCGACATCCGCCTTTCCAGGATCTGTTGCCCGTCGCTCAGCCGGGGTCTCCGATCCGATCATTCTTATGAATCGAGAGGCCGAAAGTATGGTGGAGAACTTGAGTCGCTTCGCTCCCTTCTTCTGAAGCCGTGGAGTGCAGCGAATAACACCTCCGACATTCCTGCATTTTTGCGCTTTTAATCTTAATGCGTATCGATTTCTTTTGTGCGCTTCGCAGTTGTTATCCCTGTTATAATCCCTGATCCGTTCGTTGGATCAGGCATGTTACCAGGGGGGGGGAGGGGGTTGAGGATCCTGTGATGGCATGAAATCTTTGAGACCTGCGAGGTGGTGGTAGTAGTAAAGTTACTCTCCCCGCCTCACTGATGACGCATACAAGCATGGTTTCTGAGGACCTTCCCCTCAAATCATCTCGATTTTCTATTTCTTTTGAGAGTCTGTTATAGACGCGATTACCGTGATTACTGCTTTTCCTCTTATTCCTACGGTTTCTCCAACAACCTCTACCCCTGGTTTTTTCGACCTTGTAAATAAATGCCTCTCCAGCAGTCTATGTGCACGAATTTTTCTCTGTTCATCAGCGATTCATTCATCTGATCACACCCGTCTTCAAATCTTCATGTCGAAGTGTTTCTCAGAACGTTGTCTTTCGTCGATGAGGGATTCTGATGATGCTGAGAAAAATCTTTGAGACCTGAGCCCTTGTGAATCCTCGAGATCACACTCTGGTGCGGTGATGTCTCTACAAGCACTCTCTGAAGACTCCCACACGAGCGACCTCTTTGATGCGGAACGAGATGGTGAGAATGACTAGATTACTCTAAAGAAGCTTAACTAAAGCAACATCGAGTAATTTCCCGCAATATTTGAAATAAAATGATCGGCGCGATTAAGAAATAGTCAAATGATTAGGGTTTGATCCACTGTCAGTACGTCAATCAAGTGCAAATCAAGTGGGTTAACAATTGTCACTAACCACCAGCTTAGCTATGAATATAAGGGTAATGTTACAAGATAAATTACTAAATGAAGAAAGTGCTTCAAATTTGGAAAGAAGAATATTTAGTGACCAGGTCGTTGACCATTGACTGGGATGTTGTCTACTGATTGGGTGATTGGCGGACGGGCTCGAACCAGAGGGTGCGACAGGCGCGGTCCAGGAGGTCCGGCGGGAATCAGACCAGCTGGATGAGCTGGTGTGGATCAATGGTCCGAGATAGTTCGGACCAACGACTCGGGATACTGTGGACCGGGGTTTTAAGGTCTAATTAGTGGGGGAGAAAAGGGGAGAGGGGGAACACGAACGGGTCGTGCAGAATGGTGAAGGGGTTGAGACCCTGACAACCCAAATGGGCTAACGGGGAAAGAGGTCCCGAAGAAGTCGGCCCAGAGGAACGAAGCAAGGCAGATAGGAGTCAAACACCGAAGGGGACAACCGCACGTGGGAGCCTACAAGACAGGAGACGTGTGCGGCTGACGGATTTCGGCGGGGAACCAGGACAGCGGCAGGACCCGACACCGACGGAGCACGGCAAGTCTCAGGTCCCCCCGGATCCGATTGCTAGACGGGAGGCAGTCGTCGACACGGGCGGACTACGGCTATAAAGAGGGGTCGAGCGGCGACGGAATGAGGAGGAAGAACCTCGTGTGAAGAACTCCGTTCGGAGCTGGACACTCGCCCTCTCACATCGACGACCCCAGGACCCGAGAGGTCTTGGTTATTTTGTATTCCCTCTTTCTGTATCCCCGTATCCCTCGTCGAGCTCTCTCTCTCTCTCCTCTCGATACCTGGTCTTCCGGCGGTAGCCGTCCGGAGCCCTGGTGCTGGGGAGTTTTTGTGTTAGACAGGTCGTATCTATTGAATTATCTCGAGTGTTGACGCCTTAGTCAAAGGGTCGTCATCAGAAGGCGGACAGCGGCGGGAGCAATGGGGCGGAATGTGGCAGTGGATGGTGGCGGTGACGGCGATAATGAGTGGCGGCAAACGGCGGATAATGGCGGCGGACGGTGGCAGCGGACGGCGGTGGCGATAATGGCGGTGGTGGCGATGGATAAGAGACCCTCACGGCCTCTCCTTGCGGAGCGATGACCCTGACGGCCTCTCCTTGTGGAGCGAAAGAGGTAAACCTCGATTAATCTCTTCTCTCTCTAATTGCCCTTAGGGCTACACAAGGTTATTTATAACCTCCCAAGATGGAGTCCGCAATTAATGGGCTTGGCTAGTGCGCTAATGACGTGGTCGTAGCCTCCCACCGTATGTTGTTGTTTTTTCTCTTCCTTCCGGCTGTACGCGTCGATGGTACGCCATCAGATATTGCGTGCAGTCTGCTTTCTAGGATTACGTGAACTCGACATTTTCTTCTGCTCGTTTTAGACTTCTTGTTACTGGTGGATGCAACTAACTTCCACTACGTTCGTAGTGAAAAACGCACGACAACAGCCTGATGTTTCATGGAATTAACATCAGGCTTGATCTTAAAAAATTGTATTAGCGCCAATTGTTAGCTTAAAAGAGTAACATTTCTTTAGTAGATCTATCTCTTCGATTGTGAGAACTACGTTTAGCAAGGGTCACTGCTGCTAGGCCTTTCTTATTCAAGGGGTGAACTATACTTTTCGGAAAATCTTTAATAAGGTATTAATTACATAATGAGATTGTAAATTTGTGTCATATTCATTATTCCTCAAATAATGCATAGATGTGTCTTTACTATGCTCGAAGAAGTCGCATCGGCAGACATGCTGTGTTGCCTACTATCCAGAGTGCACTGTAGTTGCATTTGTTTGATTTAGGTGTTGCAGATGTAGGGAGGAATGATATCGATTTTGGGATTTTATCTAAGTGGAACGGATAAATCTTTTTGAGGAATTATTATTGACGCTGTTTTTTCTAATTGAGTAGACTTTAATGATGCTTTCAGTTGATTAGTGCCCTTTTCGAGATTCTTAAAGGAATAAGTTGGACGACAATAAGTTGGATGCTTGACTGGCACATTTTCTGGCCATAGGACATCGTGATTTTGAATTATTTTTTCCCCTGTGACCAGAAATTCTAGTTTCTTTGGTAAATTTTTTTAGTAACTTTTCTCACAGCCTAGTCTAGTGAGTTTTATGATATAGGCTTAGATCTCAAATCTTTATATTTGTGAAGTTTGTTACAAAACATTCCACTTAATTTCTATATCAAGACATTTTCTTGAAAATATTTCATCAAGGAGAACAGTATTTAAAGGAACGTTAAAGTCAGAATATCAAATGAGAATTCTTTTGGAAAAAATGTATTATGAATTTCGCGTTGACCCAGATTTGATAAAGGTCTTCTTTGTTTGGTAAATGGAAGAACCTTAGTGGACTGAGTTTTCATCGAAAGTTATTTGTAAAGAAAAAAATCCTTTGGCAAAGAATCAGTAGAAAAACATACAAAAATGAAGAACAGCTTTTGTAATTTCAAGATTTGAACTCTAGACTTTCATCCTAAGAGTATAATTAACTAACCAGTTGGTACCTGGAGAAGCTGTCTGAAAAATTAAAGCTGTATTTATAAGTGGAAACTGATTACTGTGATTTCTACCTTAGGGATGGAAAGAAAGAAATAACGGACTACTGATCAATGGCTGCTATCCTCGAAATACTTCTAAATGAGTTTTAGTTACCTGAAACAAATTTCAACTCCGTTTAATGAAAAGTCTTCCTTGTATGCCAAAGCCAATCAGGGGTACCAAAAATTCTTTTTAGGGTTGCCCCTTACATCCCCACAAAACAAGCCTAAGCATTTTATTGACATTGAGATTTGAACCCCCACATCTCAAGACAAATCATCAAGATTCCCAATTGAATCCGTATTCTTGGATACTAAGTTGTATCATCAGTATTAAAATTGCAATTTTAAAATCCCCTACACTAAGTATAATATTGTCATTGACAATGATGAAGTTGGAGAATTTGCTAGATAGTTCTTTTTGGAGGATTCATCATTCTCTACTCTGTTTAAAAGACTTACCGATCAATTTAACCCTGCCATTTCTATTTCCAGAACACTCCAAATGAATTTTTTGGTTAATCAGCAGCTATCTTGGAAATTCACTCACAGCTTCGCTCTACCTGTTGCATTGCTCCCACTGTAGAATACAAGCTTGTATTAGGGTGGGGATTTCTAACTCACTCCACTCATTCTCTGATGGTGGATTGTTCCAAACATATAGATATGGCTCAATCAGCCTGGTTTCTCTCGATCATGGGGGTCAGCACTGTCTATCCTACATGTCTCCTTTTCGGACTTTATTTGCTCCGATATCTATTCAATTTCATGTGCCATTCTGCTATCTGCGCAGGTTTTCGTTTATTAATTTGAAGAGGTGCTGGACATTTGATGCAGCGAAAATCGTGGAAAGCGTGACTTAAAAGTAAATGCTCGTGTGAAGGCAGCTCTTCTAGCCATTGCAGATGTTGATGGGAAGGATGTGTATTTAAATTTGATGGACGTGGCAGGAGAGGTGGGAGAAAAATTGGAACGCCTGGATCTAGTCAGTAGAACTACCGAGGATGAGGGTATGAACCACTCTCAGATGACAAAGTCATGTGGGGATGCCGAAATTACTGTATTGACTCATACATTTGAACCCCCAATGCCTGAGACGAGTCTAATGTTTAAGACTGATACAGCGGAGAAGTTCCATATTTTGCCAGAAGTGGAGCAGAAGCATTTTCGTGATATTGTTCAGAAACGCAAGGTTTGTAGATTTTTATTTCTTTTACTTTTTCTGGCCGGGACTGATTTTTGCATGGATAGCATCCAATTTATGACTTTTTGATTTTTTATGATGATATATTTATTTTTCACTGCTGTCTCACTGTCGAAATTTCTTTCTTTCGTCAGTTGCCTCACAGTTCGCTATTGCAAATCGTCATGGTTTTGTAACTTCCGCCTTTATAATTTCCCCATTTAAATGGTTAATTTCTTTCATTCTTTAGATCCCAAAGAACCCTCCTGCTCTTGACACCGTGGAGTCAACTGGACCGAGATGGAAGGGGAAGAACTTCGCCTGCTTTGCACGGGATAATCCCATGTCAGATCTAGTCAAGCAACTTCAGAATTCGTTCAGACAGGAGGGGATAACTGGGCAACTCTCAGGTTGCAATGTCCTACTCCCGGTGAGACCCCAACTATCCGATTTGCTTGATCGCGCCTGTTTCGGCCGTCAGATCTCCACATCAGACAGAGACATCGGGTGGTTCCAACTGGGCCCAGAAGAAGCTTTCTATCTCGCTCATGCTCTGAGTTGCTTGAAGATATCAGACGCGAGCGGAGGTCAACTCATGGATGCGGAGCAGCTGCTGAAGCATATACGTTCCAGCCGAGAAACGTTCCCCGATCTCTACATGGCGTACGCCCATCTCCGGTCCAAGAACTGGGTTGTGCGGTCGGGGATCCAGTATGGGGTTGACTTTGTCGCTTACAGACATCACCCTGCTCTGGTCCACTCCGAGTACGCCGTTCTCGTGCTCGGGGAAGCCGCCAGCTCTGGCGACATGAGCCTTTGCACTCGCCTAAGAGAGTGGGCCGATCTACAGGGCACATTGAGGGTCTGCGGAAGTGTGGCGAAGGCCTTGCTGGTCATCACAATCAAGAGGAACGATCCACCTGGTGTACCCTTCTTACCTCTGTGCATGGAGCAGTCATTCATCGAGGAGCGGGTGATGACGAGGTGGATTCCCCGGCAGCAACGAGACAGCAGTTACCAGGCTTTATCGTCTCAGGTAACTGCCGATTAAATTATGCAGCTCTTTCGATCTGTTTGCTTGTGATTATCGATCACAGTTCTGGTACCGTCTCATATTCACGGGGAAAATATTTGTGTTCAGAAATCTAGCTGGTAATTGCCCTCTAATCTCCATGCCTTGTGGTTACTCGAGCTATTAATTTGAATAACGCTGTTTACTAGTAAAAGACAATTCGACAATTTTTAATATAATATTACTGAGAGTAACACAGAGAGGGTGATTAAAATTTCTCCTGCTTCTTGGTCTTCTTCACCGAAAGTCTCCGCGCCAGTCGAGTGCCGCTTTGTAACGAAACTGTTATCTCGGGCCGCCTTAATCGAGGAGTTACAGTATGGATATATCTCAGACCGATCAACAGGCCTGTAGATAGATATCTCTGCAACCCCCGCAGAGCAGACATCTATAGAAGTCGTCGCCAGCCATCACCAGTAGTCCTTGCAGGAGCAGGAGCCGTCCCTGAAATGGTGAAAGATGTTCCGATCCCTGAGGATGATGTCCCGGGCGAAGGCACTGGAGACGAGTTTCGCGACGGTGTGGCAGTCCCCGCAGACCCGGAGGTTCTTGACCACCCTGATGGGCGAGCCCTTGGGGTTAGCGAGGAGGCCGAAGGCGATTGCCAGCCTCTCGCTGTGGCGCGAGACCGCCTCCTCCTTCTCCTCCTCGTCGATGTCGAATAGCACCGGGGAGGTGTTCGGGGCGTACCCCAGGAGCTTCAGCCTCGACCCCATCTCTTCCAGCATCCGCTCGATCTCCTCCGCCCGCGGGTGCGACCGGTCGCCGGCGTAGAACTCGTGGGTGGCACCGGAGACCTCGATCGAGCTCCGGCCGGGGCACTTGTGGAGGCCTCTCGACCTCATGTCAGCTCGCAGCCTCCTGGCGTCGTCCCACCGCCCCTTGGCGGCGTAGATGTTGGAGAGGAGGACGTACGCCCCGCCGTCGTCGTGGTCGAGTTCGGTGAGCCGGTCGGCCGCGGCCTCCCCGGTCTCTACGTCCCCGTGTATCCAGCAGGCGCCCAGCAGGGTCGCCCATAGCACGCGGCCCGCTGCGGCGGCGGGCGCGGCTTCCACCAGCGTCGCCGCCTCTGCCAGCCGGCCGGCGCGGCCCAGCGCGTCGACCAGGCAGCCGTAGTGCTCGGCCTGGGGCTTTATACCGTGGACGGCGCTCATGGAGTCGAAGTAGCGCCTAGCTAGCGCCACCCGGCCCAGGTGGCTACACGCGCAGAGGACCCCGACGAAGGTCACCGCGTTGGGCCGCACGCCGTCCGCCAGCATCCGGCGGAAGAGCTCCAGTGCCCGCTCGCCGTGCCCGTTTACGGCCAGGCCGCCGATCATAGCCGTCCACGAGAACACATCCTTGCACGGCAGGGAGGAGAAGACCTCAGCGGCCCCGTCTATGCAGCCGCACTTGGCGTACATGTCGATGAGCGCCGTGCCGAGGATGGAGTCCACCCTCATCTTGTTGCTCTCGACGTGCCAGTGGATGCGCCGCCCCTGATCGAGCGCGCCCAGGCAGCCGCAGGCCGATAGCAGGCTGACGACCGCCGCCCAGTTGGGCCTCACCGCTTGCCCCTGCATCTGCTCGAACAGGACCAGCGCCTCCCGCGGGCGGCCGCCCTGAGCGCACGCGCTGATCATCGTGCTCCAGGAGACGACGTTCCTCGTCGGCATCCGTTCGAAGAGCTCCCTCGCGGCGTCGAGGCGGCCGCACTTGGCGTACCCCGCGATCATCGTGTTCCAGGTCTCGGTGTCGCGCTGATGCATCAGATCGAAGAGGTCCCGCGCCGCTGCAATGTCCCCGCCGGCGGTGTACCCGTTGATCATGGCGTTCCAGGAGACGATCCCCTTCTCGGGCATTTCCTCAAACAGCTTCCGTGCGCAGTCCAGGAAGCCGCAGCTAAGGTAGCCGGAGACCATGGCGTTCCAGGTGACCACGTCCTTCGCGGCGCAGGTGTCGAACATCCGCCGCCCGAGCTCGATCCTACCGCAGGCGGAGTACATGGAGATGAGGGCGTTGGCGGGGAAGACCTCAAGGTCTACGCCGAGCTTGGTCATAGAGCCGTGCACCTGCTCGCCTTCCTCTGTGGCACGGAGGCTGGCGCAGGCCTTGAGCACGAAGGTGTACGTGTACGAGTTGGGCCGCGCTGCGCCGCCCGCCATCCGCGCAAAGAGCCGCAGGGCCGGGCCCGGGGAAGGAGACGCGGCGTGCCCCTGAATGAGCGTGTTCCAGGCGAAGGTGTCCCGCGTCGTCATCTGCTCGAAAAGCTTCCAAGCGTAGTGGAGATTGCCGACGCCCCTAACGCAGAACTCCAGCATCTTGCCGGCGGCGAAAGGGTCGTCGAAGAAGAGGCCGTTGCGGAGCATCTGGGCCTGCAGCTGGAGGAGCTCCACCATGGAGCCGCAGGCCTGCAGCATCGCCACGCATCGCGGGTGGTGGAAGCGCAAACGGGCGGCGGCGGCGGTGGCGGCGGCGGCAGCGGCGGAGACCATGCAAAGGGGCCAACTCCACGGGTATCAATCAAAACGGGGGAATCCATCTAAGGATTACAGCGGCATCCATCGTCTTTGACGGGTTAATGGCGCCACGGGTGGCCTCCGATCTCACGAGTAGATAGAAGAAAACAATGCTTTTTGTTTAAGCCCGTATTCTTCAACTATTCTAACATTAAATGACCATTTAGAATTTTCGTTGGCCCAGAATTGTTGACGTATTTTGTAAAGACTTTCGAGGGTTGGGTGGGTGCACATAAAGGAGTTGCATTTGACTTTTTATTTTTATTTTTGGTGCTCCTGGAATTTATTATTTCCCGTACAAAATGAACCCTTTAACGCAGGTTCCATGTTTACTCAACCCCTAAATCCTCATTGACCTCTCCAACGCAAATAATAAAGCCGCAACTTTCTATTTGTCGCATGCTGGTTGACTGACGTTCCGACGTCGAGCCCGTTCATGAGAGAAGACAAGGAAAGTCAACGTGGAACGATACAGAAACGGGAAAATGAGACAGCTTCGACCCAAGCTGCTGGAAATCGCAGCCGTCTCAGTTTCCGTGATCTTTGGGCTCTCGAGGGTACCCATGGCGCGTCGAAGAAATCGCGAAACAACCATCTTTGCCGTGGAAAGTCGATCTAATAGATGGGAAGAATTTGGTGCCGTACAGCGGGGGACAGAGCATCGCCTTCGTGCGTGCCGACCACTGAAGACTCGGTCAATGGAAGGAGGAGAGCCCCCCGTGGACCTCCCCTCCGGCCGTGGGAACCTCTCATTCTCCCCCTCCGACAGCTCATTCACCCACAAGGATACCAGACAAACTACCACCGCCGCCCCTTCTTCCCTTGTTCATCTCCCTTCCCTTCCTTCAGTAAGAGGCTGAGGCCGAGGGACCGTCGGGGGCCTAACAGCGGGGCCGAACGAAAGGTGTCTCTGCATGTCGGCGGCGTCTCTCATGGCCCTCCTGCTTCTGCCGCTGCTCGCCGCGGCGGCGCTCTGCGTACCTGCGACCGCCACAAAGTTTACGATAGACGCGCCGCTGCTGACGTCAAAGCTGCAGACGAACCGGAGCATCCTCGTGGGCACGTCCGGCAGGGAGGACTTCGCCTCCCTCCAGGAGGCCATCGACTCGGTGCCCGACGGCAACTCGGGCTGGGTCATCATCCACCTGCGTGCGGGAGTCTACCGGTGAGGCTCTGCTGCTGAGGGAGAGCGTGATGGTCTCCGGGTGGAATCCTGGAATGAGAGAGGGGTCGTTTAAATTTCAGGGAGAAGGTCCGCATCCCGGAGAGCAAACCCTACATTTTCCTGAGGGGCAACGGGAAGGGAAGGACGTCCGTCGTGTGGAATGATAGCTCCACCGAGAACACCGACTCCGCCACCTTCACCGTCGAGGCCGACAACGTCGTCGCCTTCGGAATCAGCTTCAGGGTATGCGAATCTTCCGTCACCAAATACGATTCAATCATCTGAGTCATTAACGTCTTGCAGAACGACGCCCCGATAGGCGCCGCCGGGACGCCGTTCAACCAGACGGTGGCGGCCATGGTTGCCGGCGATAAGGTGGCCTTCTACCACTGCGCTTTCTACAGTCCCCACAACACGCTCTTCGACTACAAGGGGAGGCACTACTATGAGACCTGCTACGTGCAGGGCGCCATCGACTTCATCTTCGGCCGCGGACAGTCCGTCTTCCAGGTGACAATGATATCCCTGTTGGAATTAAATGGCAACAATCCCCTCCTCCCCCACCCCTCCCTCCTTTGATACGAAGGTCCCTTGTTAATTGCAGTACCTCATCATTCATTTTCTTATTCCTTTCCGTTGTCTCTGGGTTATGATCTCTCTCTCTCTCTCTCTCTCGTAGAAAACACCCCCTGCATCTTACCCTTTCCCACTTCCTCTCTTCCTCTTCCTCTATCCCTCTCTCTCGCTGTTTATCTCTCTCTATCTCTCTGTAGAGTCGCCTAACTGTTGTAGGTTCATCCATCTCTCATGTTTGTTCAGAGCTGCGAAATATTCGTGGTCGGGGACAAGAGAATCAAGATCCACGGGTCCATCACAGCACAGAACAGGCAGTCGGCAGACGACAGCAGCGGCTTCGTGTTCATCAAAGGCAAGGTGTATGGCATTGGCGGGGTGTACCTGGGGAGGGCCAAGGGCTCCCACTCCAGGGTCATCTGGTCCAGGACCTACCTCTCCAAGACCATAGTCCCCGAGGGATGGACGAACTGGAGCTACGACGACACTCTCGAGTACGAATATATTTAAAATCTCTCTCTCTCTCTCCATGTACATTCTTCTTCTTCTTCATCTTCATCTCCTCTTCTCGCTCTTTGTCTTCTTCTTCTTCTTAATGTTCCTCTTCCTCTCCTTCCTCTTCATCATCTTCTTCGTCGCTGTCTTTTTCCGCTTTCCTCCTATCCGTCGAGTCCCCTCTGATCTTCTTCTTCTTCTTCTTCCTCCCCGCAGGAACTTGCTGTACGGAGAGCACCGCTGCCACGGGCCAGGTGCCAACCATCTGAGGCGGGTGTCATGGGCAAAGCAGCTCAGCGAGGCCGAGGCCACCCCCTTCAGCGACGTCGATTTCATCAACGGCAAGGAATGGCTGCCCGTCTATTATCTCGATGATCTCTAGAGAGAGAAACCTACGTACACCTTTATGTAATAATCCGACGTCGCCAACTCCGCGGGTCCAGCCTCGGGAGTTGATGCGCCATGCTGTGCATGCCTGGGTTTCAGAACGGTGCCCGTGTGAATGGCCGAGATATGGGTTGAGCACGACGAACGAAGATGACTAATTTGACACGAGGACGGTGAAAAGACGGCTTTTTTCTTGGATATAAACTTGCGCTCTTGGTTTGATTATGCCCTTTCCTTTTGCGTTACCGTTGCTTTTAAATCTATTTTACAAGTTTCGAGGGCAATATCTTGAAAACATGGGTTAGATAGTGCGATCTTCACACTGATCTGAAGATCCGTCGACCACATAATATGAATGATTTTCGGCTAGAAGTAATTAAATCCTGAGCTCTTTTTCTTCATATACCTATAAAAAATTTAAATTATTAAGTGTGTGTGTGTGAAAATTTTAAATTATTAAGTGTGCAAATCTTACGTCAAATTTAAAATAAAAATGATTAAAAAGGCTGTGCTCCAAATTTTCTTCATGCTGGAATACACTGTAGGATGTCGCACGATGTACCAGCGCACAGAGATAGTCGACGGCGAGTGACAGACGAGGACGGGTAGCGCATTCTAGTAACGTCATTTTCAGCCGGCGGGAAGCTCACTCGTACCCTGGGACGTTTACACCTCCTGTGGCTCGCTCTTCCTCGTCTCCTGGGGTTCTTCTCTCCAAGCAGGCGGCCATGAGTCGGCGGCCATTGCAGAGATCTGCGCCACCGTCGTTGGTCCGGACGTCGGCATCACGGGGGGACGGGGGAGTTAAGAACTGGCCACTTCTGCGGCATTATGGGGACTCTCCCGATCGCTGAGAAGTTCCCGATTGTGATGTGTCCTGTGTCCCCTTTGCCTCCTATTTTCGCCTAGAAGCCGTAGGAACGCGAGCTCGATGCGTGGCGGGAGCCGTGGCTTATCGCGGCATACGCTTCTGGCTCCCTTCGTCGTTGCTCTGTCTTTGAGCAAGACTGATTTTATTCGCGTTTCACAGATCATCCGGAGCGCGGATTTTATATCGACTTGAGTCGTTCACATATCTACCCCCTCTCCTATGGCTCTCTTCCTCGTCTCCTGGGGTCCTCTCCATGTAAGTGGCCTTGAGTCGGCGACGCTTGAGCGCGCGAACGGGGAAGAAGATGGACTCCAACGCGGCCATTGCAGATATCTGCGCGACCGTCGCTGGTCGGGACCTCGGCATCACGGGGACGGGAGATGATGGGGGAGCAAAAACCGGTCAGTTCTACGGATTTTTTCTTCAAGCTATTCTCCCGCTCTCTGAGAAGTTCCCGACTGTGACGTGTCCTATGCCCCTTTTGCCTCTTGTTTTCGCCTAGAAGCTGTAGGAACGCGAGCTCGATGCGTGGGGGGAGCGGTGGTTTTCTCCCGGTATACGCTTCTGGCTCCCTTCGTCGTTGTTCCGTCTTCCAATCGTATTCCCCGTCCTTTTCTGGTCGCGGCCACACCTGGGAGCAAGACTGATTTTATTCGCATTTCACAGATCATCCGGAGCGCGGAATACCCATGGGTAATCACAATGACATGGCGGCAGGACGACGCGCTCCGTCCACAGGCTCACAGCGAGGGCGGCATCAATTGGGGTGGTCTCCTGCCATTGCTTCCCAACCGTCTTTCTGCCGCATCTGCTACGCAGATCTGGTTCTGATGGATGATTCGGCTTCATCCTGCACTCTTACGGCCGCTCCCATGCCACGCCTTGCCTCACCGCGCCAGGCACCCCGTTCGCGGCGATGCCGTACCGAGACTAGGGGAGACACTGTCGTGTGGAGATTATTTTGGCCCGACACCCTGACACTCACTCTTGGAACAATGAAGTCAGGCATGTAGCTGCTCATAAGATGTCGATCGATCTTGGATCCTTCACTGGAACTACCCAACATGAGATTGGCAGCACAAAGTTCATCTTGATGGTGATGGTGATGTTGACGAGGTGGGTTCTATTCCGTTATGTGGACGTGGTAGTTTTGTAACCTATCGCATTGCTAAGGAGCGTACATCCGTTATGTGGCATAGGAGTTTCTTGCGCATGAAACTTAATAGTAGGTCTCTTTGATGGATAACTCTTCTTGTCCAGGACCTGGACCTGGACCTGGACCTGGACCAGGACCCCGGCCTTTTATGCGTCATGACTTCTGCACGTTGCATTCTTTGATCTATTGCTGTACGAAAATCATTGACTGCTGGGATTGAGCGGCAAAGGTGTCCCTGTTTTTGTTAGTGATCTTTGAAGTCAACCTATGAGAGCAAAATATTTGTTCTAAAATTTCGTCACCCAATGGTTTTGGTTCAAGGGGAGTCCACCTACCCTGAATCAATCATTTTCAATTACACCCATATTGGTTATAGATTCCTGATCTCGTGCGCATGACTGCGTGTGTTTTGATGATGCATCCTGGGGATAAAGAAGTAAAGATGGAGTCTACCTCTACCAAATGGCAATGCATCTAACTGTGCATGTTTTCCTTGATGTCCTACAACGTGTGACCTCATGGGACCTATGACATGAATGGGAGGTAAACCAGAGTTCTGCCCGATTTTTTGGCATTTAGGGTTTTGCATGATCTCTGTGTTATGGTCATTATAAATAAGGCATGCATTTCAGATGCTCAAACCTAATGAATGGTGTCTCTTATGGAATAGAAATTAAGCTCAAATGATTAGATCTATCAGTTCCAAGAAAAGTAAACTAATATTGTCTTGATGTTCCTATTTTCTTGCCATCAGTTGTTTTCGAATTGGATATCCCTAATTCGTTCACATGTTACTAAAACTAAATATTTTTCCCATGAGAGTGGGCCACCCTTTATGTTGTCCATACGGTAAAGCCATGAAATAGTTCACACGCATGTGAGGAGTCATCTCCAAATGGTCCCAAAATTGAACGAAACCTTTCAAATTATGTGGTCAAGTGTCTGGCAATTGTGTTTAGTTTGAAAGCCCTGTCCTTTCATTTCAAGAACTGAAGAAGAACCTCAGAATGGAGGGAGAAAATCAGAACACTAGAAAACCCTAGGTGTTGAGATAGATAAGAGAAGTAGACTCACTAGATTCTCAAATAAAAACATATGGATGAAGTAGACATGCTGAATTTTTGTATCAACATTTCAATAGCAATACTTTTAAGAAATGATGCTCTATTTTTTTCAATTTATACTAAAAAATATTCAGAAAAATAATAAAATATAAGCTATATAGCTTGGATTCGATCAATTAATTCTCCATAAAAGTGATAAAAAATAATACTTTCTAGGAATTGACATCTAGTATACTGATTAAACTTTCATATCAATATTTTATTTCAACCACTAAGTAAAATTTAATTTCCAAATCATTAATCTTTTTCAGTGGCATTTTTCATCATTTATTGAAAGTTTTGACACTAGTAAGGTAATAATTTTGAGAGAAGATTTTCAAAAAAATCCAGAATTAAAAATATGAACATCAAATAAATTCATTGGACTATTATCTAGACACAATATCATTAGTATGTATTGTCCATAAATTGAAAACTATTTTATTTCAAGCATATGTCCAAAGATCATTCATATCGGATATATGTATAAATAATATTAAATATAATTCAATCTATTTAGTTTACTTATGTATCTTTGTCATCATCAAACAAAATTAGAATAATTAATACTCTTGAAGCCAATAGGGATGACACTATTGTTAATCCTTGATATAGGGTATTTTTTTCTCAATTTTTGGAGTGCACGAGGTCATTTGGAGCCATTCTAATGAATAATCATGAGTTCTTGATAGCGACTTTGTGGCAACTAGAGCACTGTTTTTTCTTTGCTTTTTCTTGTATCACTTCTCTGCTTGGGATCATAAATGTCTTCAAATATAGTGTGCTGAATCATGAAGTAACTCCATTATTGAAACAAGAAGGGATGAACTCTTATGAGACTTTGTCAAGGTTATTGTCAATATTGTAATATTCTCACACCATTAATAACCAACATAACATTATTTTTTTACCTTTGAAATAAGAAGGGCAACAAAAGCCAACACCTTAAAGCTTTAAATCCAATTATTTTTATTCTTTCATTGGCAACTTTTGTCAAAAAATTAACACTCACTAAGGATGGCTAATAAAGATGGATAAGTGCATAGATGGTTGAAACATTCTTAAGACTTTACAATTTTGCTTTCAACAAAGATAAGCATAAATTTGCTAAGGGTATGTTCTCCCAATAATGGATCTCCATCGCAATGGCACATTACAAGTATAAGTCACCTTTGAATGTTTACTTTATAAACATGCACAATTTTTACCAAATAAGCAAAGTTAGCTTTATTGAAAGAAACTCAAATGATCACCTTCACTTGAGTTAGTTTGATTAACTTGCTATGTATTTACTAATAAAACGGATAGAGATTTTGAAATAGGTTCAACAATGGGTGTTATAGAGGTAGAAAATATCTTACATTTATTGGGTTTTGTGTGTCATCTTCCTTCTCTATCCTTACCATTCTCTCATCTTTGCAAGAGAGATGTAAGCTTTATTTTTCAAGTCATATTATATTTAAGTATTTATATCTCACTTCCCCTCTTCTCTTAAACATATGTAGCCTAGTTTTCTCTTGGGTTTGAACCACGAGACACCAACATTACTACATGATACAATCGAGATTTAGTTTGCTTAAGGGAGTCAAAAACCAGAAAAAAAGGCATCATAGACCATTTTCTGTGAGTAGAGTATCTTGATAATAGAAGTTGAATTGGATTTTTCTTAGATGAAGAGTGGAGATGATAGATAAAAAATGTCACTAGAACCTCAGGAGAAAGGATTGTTCAATTGATGTTGTACATGCTATTGGTTTAAGATCAAGAAAAAAACAACTCCAACTCAAAGAAATATATAGATATGACCTAGGGTAGCACTAAATTATGATACTTTAATGGTTCCAAAGCTGCTATCACATATGTTC